AATTGGCTGTGAAAAGCAGCAGAATTGGCCACCCCCGACATAGGCCTCTTTGTCCTAAGGTTATTTCCAGCTGGCTATTTTTAAGAAACAAGCAGACATAGAAGAAGCCCTGAAAACTGAGTAGATGCTCCCCTTTTGTAAGAGACATTTTCATTTGTAAGGTGTCTCCCTCTGTACCAGGAAGAGGAGGATGACTAAATCTCTAGAAACTCTCATCCATGGAGATGGCAACCACTTAAATCTTCGTAACAACCTTACGTTGTTTACTGTGCCTTTCCTGGCAACCTCCTAGAACTGGCCTGTCTTTTCCCCCAACCTTATCTTTGGCCTTTAGCTGGAAATGGTATTTAAGGTGCTGGCTTGGGCCTTTTCCGGGAGTTCCTTCATGTTCCTGGGTCTCTCCTGTGTATACAGGAGGTATCCATGTTATTATACATACTGTTAAAGTTCTGTTTGTTTCTCTCCTGTTACTCTTTTCTTTTTAATTACACAGTGTTCTCAGCCAAGAACCTAGAAGGGTAGAGGGAAAATTATTTTTCCTCCCCTACAGCTGCTAACTGCATTTAAGTCTCCCAAGTGTTTTGCAGGCTTCTTGATTTTTTCCCCCCCTGCTGATCAGTAGTAATCACTCGCCAGCTCTCTCAATTTGTTCTCCATCAATAACCACACTATCAGTTGCATTACAGCCTTCCTCAATGAGTAAAAGGCAGGGCGGGGTGGGGGGGGGGAGCACTCACATTTCCAGTCAACCTCCCGGAAGCCACAGAAGATGGAAACTAAGGGGGACGGAAAGCGGCCCTCTGTAAGATCGGCTGACAGTGGGGTAGGCCTGAGCGCTTGGACTAGAGCCCAGAATTCCTGTTTCACATTCTGACTTGGCTCTTTCACATAATTGCCCAAGTGAGGTCTCCTTTACTTCTGATATTAAGCGGTTTCTTTCCCTCCTGGTAGACACAGTAGGATGATTTAGAAAGTAAAGGGATAAAGAAGGAGCACAGCATGTGTCCTCATTTATTAAGCCAGTAATGTTAGAGTACAGCGAAGCCCGTGTCCTCAAGGAGCTAACGGCCTAGGGTGGGGGCGGCACGTGTGACGGTAAGGCTCTGTAGAGAAGGGGTCACTAAAGAGTGTGGTCAGCTCTAGACCGGGGAGGAGGGTCAGGACAGCTTCCCATCAGACGTGACCCTAAGGCTGATCAGAGTGGGCGCCTCCACGGGTGGAAGGGCCCTCCAGGCGGCAGTGCAGGGTGAAACGGAGCAGAGTGGGGAACTGGGGGAAATGCGGAGCAGCTGTGAAGGGGATAAGTATACGCCCGAAGGTGGGAGAGACAGGGCTCAGGTGGGGGAGGATTTTAGCTACCAGCTAGCAGGCCCACCTCACCCAGAAAGGTGAGGCGCTAGCTGCCGGAGGGATTGAAAGAGAGGTGAGCCTGCTTTAAATGCTCCCCAGCGGCAGAGCAGAGAATGGATGGGGAGTGGCGAGACTGGAGAAAGACCAGTTGGGAAGCTATTGGGGGGGGGGGTGTCCACGGAAGGTAGGACAGTAGCTTAGGAAAGAACAAGGTCAGTGGGGTTGAAGGAAATGGACCTTTTCAGTAGCGTTTTAGGGGGGAGAACCGACTGCGATGGAAGATAATGGGCGATTCCCAGCCCTTTATAGGAGAAAGCAGTCGGAGGAGAAGGAGCAGGTGAGGAGAGATTAGGAAATGCTTCAGGTTAGCTAGAATTGATACTTTGGGGTCCCCACTCCACATTTCCTTCAGGGGACCGCTTTCTCCCTGCCCGCTCTGGCTACAGCACGTCTTATAGGATCCCTTACAGGATAAAGAATGGGCATGCCACCTCTCTTCTTGGGACCTCAGTTTCCATCTGGAAAATGAAGGGGCCAAACCCCCTGGATGGAATCCTTCCCTCTTCCCCTCCCCGCCGGCTGGACTGTGTTCTCCCGTCTCCACCTCCTGCTGGGGTGTCCGTCAAGCTCTTAAGCTGCTGCTGCGTAGCTTTGGCTTCCGGGTTTCTCAGGCAGACTCTAAGCTTCTGGAGGGCCGGGCTGCCCTACCCTCTGCCGCTAGGGGCCCCCTCAGGATGGAGACGCCAGCTTTCCTGAACGTGGGTCAGGTTTCTTTTCACGTCTCCGTCAGCCTTCTGCTCCCGAACTTCCCGACGCTGGACCCAGGGGCGATTTTCACGGTGCCCCCTGGGTTGGGCGTCTTCGTGTCCCAGTGCCCAGCTGGGCAGGACTGGGGTGTGGAGGACCGGCACTCAAATGGGAGCGGAGACATGACCGGGTCCTGTGTCTCGGGGAGTTGGAGCCGGGTCCTGTGCTTGTAGGTATGTGCGCATATGGTTATGTAGCCACGAGTGTGTGTGTGGCCTAGGATGTCACCTAACTCACTCAAGTGTCCATGTCTGCATCTCACAGCCATGCATAAGGCGGTGTGCCGATGCCAGCATCTGTGTGTCATGAACGTCAGTGCCTGTGTATGGGTGAGGGCCTCTGTCCACGTGTCTGTGCTTGTGTGTACGTTGCCACGTGCCCGTCTGCGGGTATGTATGTGGCAGTACGTGTATGAATATACCAGTGTCTCTGTGTGTGTCGTTGTGTATAGACAGAGGCAGATTATGGTGTCCAGTTAAGAGCATATGCTCCAAATTCAGGCTACCTGGGATCAAGCCCCGAATTCAGCAATTAAAAGCTATAGCCCCTTGGGTGAGTAATTGACTTCTTTAAGGCTTGGTTTACTCATCTCTAACCTGGGGCTAATAATGGTATACCTACACTCACTAATAGCTCATGTGAGCGTGGATTGGTATAATGCCCACAACGCTCTTAAAATAACGCCAGGCTCAGAGGCCGTGTTTAAAATGTTAGCTGTTACTGAGTTACTCGTGGCATCAATATGTGAGTGGTTGGGCTTGTGGGCCCAGGTGAGCTTCTGTGTGTGTGGAGATGGGTCACGGGGCATATGCGGCTGACAGGCACACCTGTTAGAGTGTGGCTCGTGGGATGGGGGTTCGGGCCCTGCGTCCGAGGGTCAGTGGGTGTGTGCTGGACTGTGGTCTGCCCGTGAGGCTGTGTGTGTTCCACCAGATTTGAACTTATAAGGACAGGTGTAAGGGTGAAATTCAGGGAATCAATAGCGCAGTTAGACGCAGCTGGTTTGCAGTTTAACTCACCACAGAGCTCGCTCTCTGGCCACTTGTAATCAGACTCCGTTTGTCTGCAGTTTGATCCATCCTGATAGTCACCTGTTTTCTCTTGGTTTCTCCCCACTGATTAACTGAAGAGCTGTTTGTTCTCTTTCTCAAGGCTGCCCGTACTTCGTTAATTAACAATATCCTAACCTGGGAAAGGGCAGTCTCTTAATCCTCAGGCGCCTGAACACTGGGATCCAATTTACAAATTCTTGCGGGTGATACTGGTGACGCATTCAAGTCCCGGCCTCGGTGGCCAAGTCTGAGTCCGGAGATAACATCATTCAAACAGACCAGCCCCCGGAAGGTTGGCAGCCCCCAGGCCTGCCTGACAGACCCCCCCTTTCCTATGTAAGAAAAAGCTAACCTGAAGTTAGGGCAGCTGCCCACCCTCAGACTCTGGGCTCTGCCCTGACGACTCCCCACCCCTGCCGGTGTCTCTCCTTCCTACCCGAGGCAGCCGTCACCTTTGGACACTGCCACGGGCATTCTCTCTCTGCCCTGACTTGAATAAAACCTTTCTTCGCTCTCCCGCTTTGTAAGAGCTTTCACCTTTTGCAAATGACCGGGAGTTAATTCCACCCAGGACAACAGGGACTGTGTTTCATTCATTACTTGACCCGGGCCCTCGGACCTGGGACAGGACAGTCGCTCAGCAGATGAGCGTTGATTGAATGAATGAAGCAGACTGGACACCCAGAGACTGTTACTCACATGGCTGCCCATTTGTAAAAAATAAAAAGCTGTAACCAGCTAAATGACAGATGTGTAGGTAGGTAGATGGAGAGAATTGGAAAGGTAGATAGGCAGACAGGGTTGGCCCTAGTTAAGTAGAACGTCATGTATTTACACTGGAAGAGACTTAGAGGTCATATGTCCCAGGACTTCTAAAACTGGGCCCTTGGTGACCCTGCAGGTTATCATGGAGTTTCCCTGAAGGCCTGAGGAGGCAGGAATCACAGAATGGGAGAGCTCAGCTCACCACCCAACATCAACAAGCGTCTATTTGCTTTTAATCTCTGCACATTGGGTGTTCAGGTAGAAGTGCATTTGAAGAAAGGGGTCCCTATAAATGTCTGGGAATCAGGTTCTAGCCCAGCCCCTGAGCCTCGGGAAGGGGAAATGCCCTCTCGTTCAGGTCCCTTCCTGGCTCAGCGCCTCCTGTGGAATATGGTAGGTCTGACCCTCTAACCCACTGGGAAGCTGGAAGTAGTTCTTCCCAGGAGCCTCTCTTTTAAAGAAGCCGCTGTCACAGTGGCCGTTCGGGGTGTGTACCCTCAGCTTGTGTGGACCCGTCGGCTGTGTTCACGCGAGATGACACCTGGACCAGGAGAGACACTCGGGCCCAAGCAAGGAAGCCAGACTCCCCCGGGGGCAGTTTGGACGTGCGATACCCAGATGCCTGTCGGTCTCTGTGGTCCCCGAATTAGGGAGCTATGTGACGCTGCAATGCCCATATTCAGTCAAGGGATGGTGAATAAACAGGAAAAGCCAGTTTCAGAGAGAGAGGGACTTGAAGGAGACACACAAAGATAAGCAGGCGTGTGGTTTCAGGAAGTGACAGACAAATTGTGGTCTCTAGGGGTTTGCCTTGTGCACCTGGGCTCTGTCTTCTGTCCTGTGTCCAGGGACTCCATTCCCTTTCTGCCTGAGTTCATAGGAGTGGGTTTCTGTTTCTTGCAAACCACACCTCCTCTGAACGAGGCAGCAGGTTGGAATGTTGGAAAGTCCCCTCCAGCAGACAAACAGGCTCTGCCTGTCTGGCCCCCACCCCCATCCCCCACCTCACCCAGTGGCCTGGTCCTGGTCAGGTCATTTTCCTGAGGCCAGCATGGAGAGGCCCAGGTACAGCTGTGGGAAAGGGAAGTTTGCTCCGTATTTGGGAACTTTGCGGAGTGCTTTGTGAGGGCTTGTTCGAGTTTTTCCAGAAAGGGCCTTCACCCACCTCCCAGGCTCCGTTGCTGCACCATCCCCTGTGGCATTGACGCAGCATTCCTGCTGGGACTGCCTGCCTGGCCCTGCCGTGCAAGCACAGCACTGTTTACAGCTAGAGGTGTGCTCTGGGGTGACAGTGTCTCTGTACCCAAACCGAGCCATTCCTCCAGCGTCCAGGTCCCAGGGGAGGAGTTGGTGTAGTTCTAGGCACATCAGAGCATGTCTGTGGTGTGGTGGGGGACAGGGGAGCAATGGGGCCCCATGTTTCCTGGAGCCGGGTCTCTGAAAGTGGCCCCTTTACAACACGTAGCCATGGCGATTGTTGAGACCGTGATGGAAATATGCCAGAGGAAGCGGGGTGAAAGCAAGGGTCAGTCTGTTCAATTCACAAGCAGTCAGACAGGGGTGCCTGGGGAGGGCCTCTTGTAGGAGCGCACCCCATTCCCTTTCCGCCAGTGACAGGGTCCCTCTTCCCTGGAGTACAAAGGCACTTCGGGGAGAGGCTGGAGCTACAGAGGCGCCTACCAAACTTGCTTTCATGAAGCTGCTAAGGAATGAGCAAGTCAGCCCAGGCCGACAGGGCCCCCACCTTGAGACAGAGAGGAAAACAAAGACACGGGAAGTGTTGAAGGAAGTTCTTCCCCTCTTCCGCCAAACCGAGCCCAGCCTGGCGTCTGTTCACCCCACGCCTGACTTGGAGGGAACTCCAACACAGCTGAAGGGTGACTGGAAGCCATCGCCAGAGGCAGGACTCAAGCTGCAAGGCCAGATGCCTAGCTGAGCTCAGAACAGCTGAGCCAGGAGGACAGGCAGGAGAAGCACGGGCCAGGCCACCAGGAACCCTGAAATGCAAGGGAAGCGACATCAGGTGTCGGGCTTTGGAACCGAGCAGCCCAAGCCAGCTGGCCTCTGTCTCCTGTTGTACAAGGATGACAGAGGCAGTGTCCTTAATATCTGGTCTGGGTTACAGCCCCTGGGAGGTGGCACAGGGGTCAGGTGGTAGAGGCAAAGCTATCTAATCACCAAGCACTTTTTCATGTTCTTCTGGGCACACAGGATGGCACTTTTCCCCAGCCTCCTTTGCAGGTAGGTGGGGCCCTGTGACTGAATCTGTCCAGTGAGACGTGGGTAGAAGTCATATATGCCATTTCTAGGCCTGATCCTTACATGGTTTTCCATGCTCTGTCATCCACCTTCTAGGGACCCAATACAGAGAACCCACAGGGGATAGTGGAGTTGCCAGAAGTTACCAGAAGGTAGGAACTTGAGTTCCTAATGACTGCAAGGCACAGTACTCTAACCCGCCGCCACCACCACCACCAGTAACTAAGTGGGAAATACACTATCGTGTAAGGGCACAGGAAGTTGGGGATTGTTTGTCACAGCAGCTAGCATTACTTACTCTGACTAATACTGAAGAGGCAGAAAGAAGTTAAAAAGCACTGCCTCCGAGGCCCGACCTCTTAGCTTAGTATCCCAGCTCTACCACCAGCTGTGCAGGCCCAGGCAAGTTACTGAACCTCTCTGTGTCTGAGTTTCCCTGTGTGCAGTTAGAAATATCACTAGCAGCTATTACCGTATAAGAATTTTGTAAGACTCAAGTGAGTCCCTTCGTATCAAGCATTTAGAATAGTGCCTGGCACATGGTAAACACCGCCTAAGTGTTGGTTTTGAAAATCAGGCTCTAAGATCTGGAAGGGTTGGGATCATATCTCTTGTGGACATTACTGTATACGAAGTATAAATGAAGGGCATACATCCTGGATCATAGGTGCCTAGTATTGGGGGGCCTGGAAGAGGCATGTGCACCCCCTCCCGCCATACCACCAGATTATAACGTCTCCCCAACCCTCAAATTTCAAGGTCACTTGCTGATGTCCTAGAAGGGAGGGGGAGAAGAATATCATAATTCTCAGAAATATTAGTGTATGACAACCCGGTTATAATTATGAAGCGGAGGTTAATGTTCAGTTAATTCTCAAACATCAGAAGCAAGCAATGAAAACTGTAAGTGCCCACTGGCGGTGCCCTGCTGGGCATACATGACTTCTGCCCACATCCCACTGGCCAGATCGGTTCCCTACCCTTCCAGAAGGCCCAGCACCCACCCTAGAAATTAGTCAGCTGGGCACGCTGTCCTGGGAAGCCCATTCCAGTCTCTGTACTGACCTGAAATACTAGAGGAAACGGATGGGACTTGAGGTCCCTGCTCTCAAGCTGCTTTTAGCCTTTGCTTCATCCACTCTCTCCGAGAACCACTGCTTTTCTGATCATTGTTCGAGTATTAGCACTGAGCATGGAGAGACCATCCTGAGCTCATCTGGAAACCTTTAGACTGTTTTCTAGTTGGGGATTTGGAGGAGAGTAGAACTTTTTCATGTCTGACTTCGCCCATATAGGTCATTTTGGGGGTGGGTAGTAAAATCTCAATAGCATTGCTTTCCCTTTGGTCCAAAATACATTTCTTGGAGTTGTCTCCCCGCTGAACTCCAGTTCATCCATCAAAACCCCACTGAGGGCCGGCCGAGTGGCGCGATGGTTAAGAACTGGCTTGGGACGCCAGAGGGCCCCAGTTCGGATCCCACATGTGAGGGCCAGTGACACGGCCCTCTACAAAAACAAAACAAAACAAAAAAACCCCACTGAGATGTTACCAGCCACCAAAATTCTTTCCTGACCTTATCCAATACAGTTAACTTCAGTGTGCTCCCTCTGCACTATCTACTCACTTATGATTTATTGGCTTATGTGGCTGTCTCATTTTTTGCAATAGTTGTTCATTCTGCCAGTAGGGCTTGTTCCTCTCATATTTGCACATGTGGCTCCTTTATCTCATTTGAATGAAATATCACTGCCTATGAAATTTTTTTTTCTGGCCATGTATCCATTCTGGTATTCCTTCTTTCTTCCTACTTTGTTAATAGAACCATCAAACCTTGGTTGGGTTCACAGCCACCTAGAATAAAGACTACATTTCCCAGCTTCCTTTGCAGCCAGGTGTGGCCATGTGACTGAGCACTGGCCAATGAGATCTAAGTAGAAGTATGTCGTCTCCCAGGGATGTTTCCTAACACTCAGTGACTTCTCCCATGTTCTCTCCATCCTGCTGCCTAGATAAGAAGATGGGAGCTCTGGCTGCACCCCTGGACCATGAATGGTGGAGGAATGAGCTGGCAGGCACCTGGATTCTTGATGACTTTGTGGTGCTGCCCTGCTAGCCAGCCCTGGATGGCTCATCTCTGGACTTCATTTATGTGTGAGACAAACTTCTATCTTATTTACGGTATTATTACCATGCTGGTCATTTTCTATCACCTCACCCTCTTTTCTGTCTGCATTACCTTGTTACTGTCCCTTTTCCCACAATGGAACATAAGCTCCGTAGAGGCAGGCACCTGACTTGTATTGTTCATCCCTCTATCTTCAGTGTCTAGAACAACGCCTGGCACACAGTAGGCGCTCGATAAACATTTGTTGTTAAATGACTGGCTCCCCCGCTAGACTAAGGGTCTCTCCAGAGCCAGTCTTGGAACTGCTTCATTTCAGGGTCCACAGTTCTCAGCACAAGGCCCAGCCTACCGAAGGGGCTGAATGAATGTGCCCTGAATTGAAAGGAGAAAGGAGAGGGAGTTTGGGGGGAGGCCGTGGGAAGGGCAGGAAAAGAGGGGATACCTGTGGTGCTGGGGGTTCCGTTCGCATCACCGGACGCGGCACCTGGAGACAAGGGCAGGAGGTGAGGGCTTCATCAGCCGTGCTCTGGTGGCCGCAGCACTGTGGCCTCAGCTGCTCCAAGTCCTGCAGGACCTGGCCACTGCTGCCGTTGACAGTCCACATTGTGGAGGATCTAGTGTCTGACCGGTACCTTTCTAAACCCATTTCATGCATCAGAAACTTAATCCTCCAAACAGACTTGGGAGGAAAGTATTCTCATCCCCATTTGACAGATGAGAAGACTGAGGCTCAGCGACGTTAAGGGACTTGCCCAGTTGACCTTGCTGGTAAGGAGCAGAGCTGGGACTTGAACCCCGGTCTGTCTGATTCCACAATGGAAGTTCCTGACCCCCTGGTTACCTTGTGACACTACCCAAGGCTTCCAGCTGAGGGCTCAGTAAAAGGGCAGGGCAACTCAGGGCGAGAGCCATCTTTACAAGACAGCCTCAGTTTACTTATCTGGAGAACGGCAGTGGTAAGAGGGCTTACTTCCTGAGGCTGTTGTGGGCATTCCATATGATGATACTTATAAATGTGTTTTGCACGGTGCCAGCCACGCAGTATTATTGTTGTGGTTGTTAATATGACTATTATGATATTAAGGTACCCTTATTTGGGGGGGACAAAAAGACTACTTTCGTTCTTTTGGGTGTCATAACTCCTCCATCCCAGCGGGAATAAAAACCGTGACATAACTGCTAACCCGTGGGTAGGGCGGATGAAAATCTGAGGAGCAGTTGGAAAGTTTCCCCTCCATCATGCCCCTCGATGCTGTAGCTGGATTTTGAGAAACACAGTTCATCACCAGAAAACAAAGTTGCATTAGGACTTAGCCTTCACCCCAGAGGGACTGCGTTCTGGGGACCTGGCAGGAGAAATAAGGGAAAGGAAACACGCTTTGGAATCAAACCGAGCTGCATTCAATTCTAACTCCAGCCGCTCACGAGCCCGGTGATGTTGGCTGAGTCACTTAAACTCGCTGAGCTTTGGTTTCTCACCTGTCAAATGGACACTGTGTGGGGAGGGTTCAGTGAGTCGATGGGTCCTGGGGCTTAGCCTGGTCCCTAGCACACAGGTGGCCCAGTACAAATGGCAACTGCTGTTTAGTGCCCAGAGCACCTCGTGGAAACATTGATTCACCAGTGTGTGTGGGTTGGGGGGTGCGGGGGGCCCTTGTTAGGTTGTTGACCCCAGGCACCTGTTGTTAACTGTCAGCACTCAGCCACGGGTTTGTCACCAGGTCGTGGTCACTTACCTTTCCGAGCGATGGGTCCCAAATCCAGAACCAGGGCTGGGTCGATCGCCACTGCTTCACTGCGGACTTGACTTCTTGAGCAAGACTGTGGAGGTAGTGAATTCTCATGCCACCACCGTTCACGGGCACGTTTCCTCTGCACGTCTGGCCTGAGAATGCGGCCCACCCACCACGTGGCTCTACCTCTGATGCTGTGGTTATCTCAAGCTAGAATATTCTCACTGTTGTGTCCAACAAACCTGGCTTAGAATCGCATCTCCACCCTCTTTCAGCTGACTAACTTAGAACAAACGGCCTCACCTCTCCACTGTTATTAAACAGGACCTTCCTGGTTGGGAGGCTTAACATGAGGTTTGTCTGCAGCACGTAGGTACATAGCAGACACTCAGGAAATGCCCGCTCTTAGCAGGCGGTGCCAAAAATGGGTCAAGAGCATGGGCCCTGGGGTCACACCGCAGCCGGGCCACTGCCGGGCTCTGATACTTGCTAGCTGTGTGGCCCTTGAGCAAGGGACTTTTCTGAGTTCCAGCTTCCTCATCTGTGCAATGAGATCAATAAAAGAACCTACTTCAAGGGTTGTCATGGGAGTTAAAGTAAACAAGGCACACGAATGCTTCGGCACAGTGCTTGATGCAGAGCGAGTGCTGAAAAGGGCAGCCATAATTATAGTCATCTAAAATACGTCTTGTGCCAAGGAGACCTCGTGGACAGGCTCCTTCATCTGACCAGCCCCCCAGGGACACAACGATTGCGTATATATGGGCTTTGGGGAGGCTTAAAGTCCATCCATTTACCCTTCTTTCTTTCTTCTCTTCCTTCTTTTGTCCTTCCCTTCCATCCGTCCACCCATCCATCTCTTCATCCATCCAGCTTTCTTTCCCCTCTCTCCCTCCCTCCTTCCTTCTTTCCATCTGCTCGTAATTCCAATAGCTATGTATGGCAAGCCCCCCAGGCCCCGGGGCCCATGTCAGGCTCAGAGTAGTCCAAGCAAAGGCATGCTCACCGGCTGGCACTGTTCATGGAGGGAGTCACAGAGACGGACCTCGCAGTGCAGGAAAACTAGGTCGTAGTTTCCGGCAAACATGAACATCTGAACTGAGAACCGGCCTTCGGAGGACTCCCCATTCTCCTCCACGAAGATGGTGGAATCACGTTGGTTTGGACAGCTGGGAGGGTGACAGGGGCAAGCGTCTAACTTCTAGAACAGCTTGGGGGCCTGAGGCCCTTGGCTGCATCTTTCATCTGTGTCCAGTAGGAAACCACTGTCAGAGAGAATTAAAGTCCCCCTGCCCCGTCCCCGGGTTCCCTCCACCCTGACAGCAGGACTTTTATACCTCTGGGTGTCTGTCCTCCATAATGTTATCCATAAGGCCACATGGCTTTGCGTTTTGGGGAGTGAGATAGACTGGTTTCAGATTCCAGCCAGACCCATTTCCTCGCCAAGTGACCATGAGCAGCTTCCTTAAGCCCCACTCACTGAGCCCCATGTTTTCTTGTCTTCAGAGTGGAGATAGAAATATGCACTTCCTGCGGTTGATGTATGCGTTTAATGTGATCATCCGTGTGCACTGCTCAGCACACTGCTTGGCATGTAGCCAAACTCCGTGATAATAATTAGCTATTATTATCACCACGGCCTGGATCATGATCTACAGATACGTATGTTCCCTTTGTGTTGGCCAGTTATGAATAGGCAATAATATTTTGCCCCAGAACAGTTGTCATGCTATTTTCATGTTGGTGAGTCAGTGTTCACGTCTTTATAACAATCCGTCATTACTTAATAGAGCCCTATTTTAAACAATGAACCCGCTGCCAAAGTTGAAAGGATACTGAAATTAAAAATAATTGGCATTTCTTTCCCCTGCGCACCTACTCTGTGTTTGTGCTTTAGGCTAAAGTTCCAGGACGGATATTCCTGGGTCAAAGGGTGTGGTTATGATATGTAACGCCAGATTGTTTTCCAAAAGAGGCAAGTCAGTTTACACACAGCTGCCAGGTAGGTGTGAGGCGACCCTTTTCTCCCCAAGCCTCGCTTCAGCCAAAAGATAACCCACAGCCGTCCAATACCTGTTTCTGATGATGAAGTATTTCACAGGGTCTTCCCTGTCTCTAGTGGGTGTGGCGTAGCAGTTCTTGAACAGCAGGTTAAACCGGGAGGTGTCCCCTCTCTCCAAGATGGCGCCCACATAAAGCATGGCCTCAACGGGCAGCACGGCTATGGCCCCTTCGTAAGGCAGCGTGTAGTTCTGGTCTTGGAATAGGGCCATCCGGACAGTAAACTCGCCTTCCCCATCCAGACTGATGTTCATGGAGCTGAGATGAGGAAAAGCCACAAGAGTAGAACCATCAGGTGTTGACCCGGGAGAACAAAATGCATCAAGTCCTGCTCTCGTGTGAAGTTCTGAAGGCAAACACACACCTTTGAGCCTTGAAGAAACTATTCGAGCACTCCTTTAAATCAGCTTTTTTGTTTTTTTTTTTTTGTTTTTTAAGGAGGGCGCAGCTCACAGCGGCCCATGTTGGGATTGAACCGGCAACCTTGGTGTTATCAGCACCATGTTCTAACCAACTGAGCTGACCAGCCATCCCTTAAATCAGCTTTTACTGTCTTGTAGGCACTGCACCTGACACATGGAACAGCCTGTCTCCAGGGTTTCTGCCCATTTCCCCTGCGTCACAGATCACCCCAAGTACGGACCTCCTTTGCCTCACCTGTGGAGTACGGCTCGGGACCAGGTCGGTGGGTTCAGAGTTTTTATAGAACACCAATTTTAACAAGATGAATGGCTTGAGTTTTTATTTGTGATGAACCTTGGGCCCCAACAAAATACAGCCTGAGAACCACTGAACTAGAAAATGTGTAATCCTTCTTAATCTTGCCATTCTGGGGGCCTGGGGGCGCAAGGAGCAGTAGGAGAGCAACCTGGACTCCTGAGACCCTCAGACAGGACCCTGGCACGTCTAACCTGGGAGCCGTTCATTCAACAGGGCCTCCGTTCCCAGCCTGGCAGGGGGACGATGGACAGAAGCCACTGCCCAAGTAGAGCCCCACCCAGAAAGCTATTTGGTTCTATTTCTGGTGAATTGGGGGCAGGGAGGGGGTGCCGTTTATCCAGTCAGAGCCAATCCAACTTCAATCCCTCATCTGCGGGGAAGGCCCCCCTGCTCCCGCCGTCCCCTCAACCCCACAATTAGGTCAGGGGCCCTTGCTCTCTGACCCCACAGCACCCCCCCTCCATGCTTCCCCTCCATTGCGCTCATCTCGCTTGTAATTACTGATGGCGTTAGTCACTTGATGATGCCTTTTTTCCTCAAGATAAGTGAAATTGTCGTGTTTTTGTCCCTTCGCATATTTCATGAACACTGTTCCCATGGAGCGGCGCTGCTTCCGAATAATAATCCTCACCACCCACAGAGGATCCTGGGTCTGCCTTGTGCCTCAGACGTTAAGATATGACCAGCCCATTTGTGGAATGAACGATCCGAAGAACGGAAGCCTCTGCAGGAGGTGGGTGGTGTCCTTGGACATCGTAAGCTGTGCTTGCAGTGAGTGTGACCCGTGTCGGGCTTGAGGGCCAGAGGGCAAGGGTCAGCCAGCGCCGTACCTTACAATGGGCTGCAGGGCAGCTTGGAGGCCGACTTGCATGTCCAGCGGATAGGCACACTGGAAGTTGATGCTGAGTTTGGTGTCTCTGATGATGAAATCGTTGACCACGGAGAGGGTGTTCTTGTAGATGGCATGCGTTCTATTTCTCTTTGGCATAAAAAGAAGACCACATGAATGTTTATGTGGACACGTGTAAATGTGTCTGGAAGCCAGGTCTGTCTGACTCCACAGGCGGGGCCGTTCAGTCATGCTGCCACCCTGCCTTCTGCTCTCAAGGTGGCAAGTGGGCCTCTCCCCGTCCCCGCCCCAGTGGCACTGACACTTAATGGGAGGGGATTGAGGACCCCAGATCAAAAACTAGAACAAAAACTTACGGACCCTTGGGAAGAGTTCCGAACCACCAGGCGTGCTCCTCTGTCGACCCCTCCCACATCACCGCTAATTAACCATAATCACAGCTCACATTTATCGAGCTCAAGTGTCAGACCTGCTCTAAGCTCTTTGCGTGAGCTACCAGGTAATCTCACGTAAACCTAGAGGCCCAGAGAGGCTAAGTGACTTGGCCAAGGTCTCACAGCTCCTGACAGGGGCCCCCTCAAGTCCGGCTCCCCGCTCTGGCAGCAGCGCTGTGAATGCCACTCACCTCTAGAATGTTCCCACAGGCGTTAGCCTGAGCAGGGCTGGTTACGGACATCTGGTTCCTGTCATCTTTCTGCAGGATGCTGGTACACGTCCTGTTCCGCAGGTAGGCAATGACCTGATCCTCAAAACCCAGGCCTTCCAGCTGACACCTGTCCAGCGACACTGTGATCGCCCTGTCCCCACAGTCCAGCTGAGGCTGCAAACTCTGCACATCTGGAAATTCGAGAGGGGAGTAGGTGGGGTGGCCAGGGATTCTGGAAGCAGTGGCAAGAGCCCATATTTCCTGCCTTTGGCAGAACCACCATGCCCACCAGGGGGTTGGGTGGACTCGAAGAGGCCTGGTACCAGGTGGGCTTCTTGGCTGGGCTTGCGGTCGGCGATGATGGCAAAGAAACCCCTGGTCTGAGATTGTCGGGTGTCCTACATGCAGGCCTGGCCAGGGATCCCGGGTCTGGTTCCCCTGGGGGATTAGGGTCTCAGGACTGCAACACATTCCAGGCCAGAATTCAAGCTGGACACACACAACCCCCACTTCCTGGCTTTGCAAGGCCTGCCCATTGGACCTGGTTCAGAGCCACTGCCTTCATTTATTCATCCAGCCATCCATCCACCCATCCAACATTCATTCAACAAACACCTCTTTACCATCTACTGTCTGCCAGGTACCGTTCAAAGCACTGGGGATACAATGATTATCAAAACTGATAAAACCCCCACCCTTACAGAGCTAACACTCTGATAGGGGAGGTAGATAGTAAGTTAAGAGAAATACAATTTCTATTGTATTCATGATTCAACATACATTCTTACTAGCTACCTTCTCCGTGTGTTGGGCACATATAACCCCAAAATAAAGGGACTGTGGGCTCAGCTCAGCTTGTGAGGGTCTTGCCAGCAGCTTAGTCTCATGCAATAGGATGGAGGTACTAACAGCCGTGTGTTCTAGGTGCAGAGGGAGCGCTCAAGAAGGCCCAAGCTATCAGGTAAGCCCGACAAGGGTGCACAGAGGGCTGAGGCTTGACAGGGGTAGTTTTGCAGGTTAATAAAGCAAATGAGGGCTCCCAGGCTTAGGGAACAGCAGAGGCAGAGTGTGGCCGTGAGGGAGAGGATGGCGTGTTTGTACAGGCACAGAGGTCAAAGGTTCAGGAACTTAGAAGGGGAGGGGAGCTGTGGGAGACGGAGAAGCAAACAAGCCCAGATCACGAAGAGATTGTGTCTGGGAGCGATGGGACCCCACTAAATAGCCACTGATAAAGACCCGCGGCGCCCTTGTTCAGCCGGCCTGCCAGGGATGCTCTTGAAGCCCATCCAGATACAAGGGGGACGTCCTCAAAGCCCAGAGTCTGATGCTGTGATGGCCCAGACCTCAGCAACCACCCAGCCCTCGAGGTGGGGTTCATCCACCCAATGCGCAGAGTCTCCAGGGGGAGCAGGGCTGCCCCCTTCCTGCCCCTCAGCTCCGCCACCCCCGCCAGGCACACACACTTCAGCCCAGTTTCCCGCCTGTCCTGCCCTTGCCTGCCCCTCTGCCTCGAACACTCCTCCATAGGAAATGGGAATTTGCTCAGAGGGAGGTGTGCTTGTGCCAACGGCAAGAGCAGAAGCCCTCGTTAGTGTCCCAGGAGAGAAGGAACGTCTCAGTGGAAAGCTCATCCACCCCTCCTCCAGGGTTTAGGGCTTGTCTACAGCAACCCTTCCCATGGGTCATCAGTCTCTGCTTGCTTACCTCCTGGGGCGAGAAGCTCATCACCTGCAGAGCCTGCCCACTTGGACTGCTCTGATTTCATTCTCACAGTAGCCCTGTACAACGGCGATTTTTATTAATATCTTATCCCCATTTTATAGATGAGGACATTAAGGCCCAGAGAAGTTAGGTGACTTGTCCCAGGCGCCCCAGCTACTACGTGGCAAACCCAGGACTGGCACAGGAGTGTGCCTGTCTCTCATATGTAGATTCTGCAGGTATCGGAATGCAGCCCCCGCACTTGCAGAGTTCTCATCCCTCTGTCCCTCGTGGGTCATGCCCACCCAGGCTAGAGCTGCTTCCTGGGGCGTGGTCCAGCAGCTGACCTGGAAATTCGGTGCATCCCATCCTTGCCAACCCACTGGCTTCGAGAACTCCCACTCCACTCAGTGCCACCCCCGCTGACTCTGGCCCACACCATGTCCTGGCCCTCTGAAGTCCCTCCCTCCTGCTGTGCCTGCTCGGCCAGCTCCCGCCCAGCATCAGCGTCCCAGCTGCTCACCAGTGCTGTTGAGGTTCCGTCTGCAGACACAGCCCCAGGTACCATTGACAAAGCCACACTCCTCCTCCGGGCGGCAGGCCTTCTCACACCTGTCTTCCTGAGTGGTGGGGTCTGGCGGGGACGCACGGAGGAAGGGGATCAGGAAGCAGAGCCGGGGGGACCTGAGGCCCCCAGGGCCAACCTTGTCCCTCTCCCAGGGCACAGAAGTCCTGCCCGAGGTCGTACAGTTCTTAGAAGGGTCAGGCCTCCATCTCGGATCTCCTGACTCCCCATCCAGGGAAGTGAAAAGCCTGAGGTTGCAAGCTAGTGCTTTCCACGTGGCAGGCTCTGTTCCGAGCACTTTCCCTGTGTTAGCTCATTCACTTCTCATGGTAGCTGTATGAGATGGGGCACCCTCGCGGTTAAGTGTGTCGATCAGGGAGCTAGACTGCTGGCTTCAAATCCCAGCTGTGTGACATTGAGAGCGCTGCTCAACCTCTCTGTGCCCCAGACCACGAAGTGGAGGAGAGGAGCAAATGAGTTAGTAGTCTCGAGTGCTTAGGATGGAGGCAAGCACATTATAAGCACTATGCATTAGTTATTTTTGTCGGTATCCAATTTTTTTTTTTTTTTTCAGATCAGCAAACTGAAGCTCAGAGGTCAAACTGCTCAAATGGCACCGAAATCCGAAGGAGCCTGAGGTCTTCGTGTGACACTACTCACGTGGAGGTATGCAGGCTCCGCCTACTTTTTGAAAGCTCACGTTTCGCCACTTTTTAGGAAAGACTTACATTAGTACCTGTTTTTGCTAACCGCGAGAAATGCTATTTCTTTAGCCAAGGCAAAAATCAGAGGTAGCGCCCGGCATTTGTTTTGCTGCCAACTGTTAGGGAGGCAGCGGGCACCGGGGGGGGGGGTAGTGGGCATGGCCTGGCCAAGCGCCTCCCCGGACAACCACACTCAGCGTCTCAGCATGAAGCCACCATCGTTTTGTGCTGTGTCTTTGGGCATCTATGCTTTCTTTGGATCTATCTTGTGCCTCTGTTAGCAAGATGTGTCCTAAGGTGTCAGATGCGCCCAAGAGAAGCTCATAAGGGTGTTAAGTGGAGCACAAAATGGGACGTAATTAAGTGTATTTGGTGTGATGTGGTTGGTTACTTTTTTGGGCCTGGGAACGCTCCCCAAATTTCCATATACATTAATGGGAATTGCTTGTTGGCTTTATGTCGTTTCGGCTTGTGGAAGGTTTTATAAGAAAGCTCTCCTTTTGGATAGCAGGGCATCCTGTCGATATCAGGAGGTTTCCCCCTCGAATCTGAATGCCTGGCTTCCCTCTGCAGTGTTGGAAGAGCTGGTAACCCCAGGGCGATTGCCCACTGGGCAGTAACGGGTAGGAGCTGGGTGGCTGTTCCCCTGCGCGTCCTCCACTTGCTCTGCTGACCCCTGGGCATGTCACTGGGTGGCCCTGCCCTGCAGCTGCCTCCAGGGTCTCTGCCACTCACCTGTGCAGTATCTCAGGTTACACGAGGGGCTGCCATCCAGCTGGTACACATGGTACCCTCCCGGGCAGGCCTTCACCCGCACCTCCGCCTTCCAGAAGCAGCAGTTGCCTGACCAGTGAGCACAAGCCGTGCGGGTGACAATGCCCTGCCCGAGGACCGGGTGGGTCCCGTTCAGCCACATGGGGGCGTCCGCCTCGCATCGGAAGACTGGCACACAGGTGTCCGCCATCCTCACGCCCCCTTCTCCCACAAAGCGGAACCAGCCGTGCAGGTCCCTGTCACACTTCTTGCCTCCTGTGTACCCTATGCTCCGGGAGGGGTCATCCAGGCGCGTGTAATTCTGGCAGGGGTCAAAGCAGGCCCCGGGGACGCCGCACTCCAAGTCCAGCCCATAGGAATTGGTGGTGGGGTTTCTGGGACCTGGAAAGCGACAGAGTACTTGGTTTACTGAACCACCCAGAGCCTGCAGGAGTTTTATGCCCACACGCACTCTGTTTCAGACTTGCTAAAGAACTGAGCGAGGCGCGTAACCATTAATTAAACATCAGCCTTCATCGCCTAGGGGTCAGAATAACACTGAGGCTGCAGTGTGGTATTTTATAGGCATTAGGAATATCAGGTCTCCACCCTGCACAGCCCCAGGGGGCACCGTTCACATTGAGCTCGGCAGCCCCCCTGCCCTGGAGCTGTGCAGTGCTCCCCTGTGCAACTGTACAGCGGGGTCCTGTCTGACCAGTATTTGCGTTGCTCGTTCTAAATGTAATTCAGACTCGTTGGGAAAACCTCAAACGTCATTCAGATGAGTAAAGCAGAAGCGGAAGTTGTCCTAAGCCCACTCCATCCTCAGAAGTAGCCATAAATTTGCTGTAGAATCTTCAGGCCCTTCCTGTAGGTTTAAATAAAACCCCCATAGGTTTAAATATAGGGCTTTTTTTTTAAAGGGTTTAAATTTGTGCAGCTTTTTTTTTCCTCACTTGCATTTTTTCCTTACTCTATCCCAGACATTTTTTTTCCATTATCAGCAGATAGCGATCTAACACAGGATTTCTCAGCCTGGGCGCTATGGATGTTTTGGGCTGCATAGTTGTGTGTTGTGGGGCGTCGTGGGTGGGGTGGGATGTTTCGCATCGCCCTGGGCGCTTCTCATTAGACCCAGCAGCACCTTTCTCCCTGGAGTTGTCGCCAGACATTTCCAAAGGTCCCCTGCATGGCAGAATCACCCCCAGTTGAGAGCCACTGGTCTAACCGGACCGTTTCTGACGCTTGCTTCTAACAGAATGGTCAGTCTGGGTTTAAATCCAGCTCGACACCTGCTGGCTGGATGACCTTGGCAGGCGGTTCAACTCTCCTGAGACTCACCTACAAAACACCACCTGTGAGCTGGGGGTTCCCACAACTGTGTTATCCTGTCCTCTTATTTACTTGATGTGTTTCTTTCAATGATTTTCTAAATTTGTTTCACCCCAAGGATGCCGTAGGTAGGATGTACTAGTTATATGTTTTTAATACACGTGACTCATCAGAGAGATAGCCACCAAAAAATTCTCTAAGAGTTTGCCATGCACCCCCATGGTCATCCTGGGACGTACGTATGCCCCCGTTTGGGGAGATAAAGCCCTAAAGGATTGTTGGAGAATTAAAGGCAGTAGTACCAAGCGCAGCCTCTGCCTGAGTCCTTAGTGGGAGATCATGTGCATATCATACACATTAGTGGGACTTTTAGAAAAACAGATTTTTCCAGCCTTGCTTACGTATGTGCTTGTTTTAAGGAGTCACTGCACATGTTATTCTTGGATTATTTCCTGCACACACTTTATTTTCCCAAGAGAGGCCACGAGCTGAGAGTCCCTCCCTCTCTCCAACCCCCACCAGCCCCCTCACAGGTGACACGGGCAGAAATGCTCACCCCAGTGTTGAGCCTGAGAGCCCTTCCTACAAGCATCTAAGATGCCCGGTCCATAGATCTTTAGAAGGACCACAGAGAGATCCTCTCACGTTTCAGATGAGCAAGCTGATAAGGAGGAAGGAGAAGGCGCGTGGCGAGACCAGGGCACAGAGCGACTGGGGGACCCGTGTCGTCATGCGCTTCCCGTATCCGGCCGCGGGAAGCTCTGCTAACCGGCTCCCACTCCGCTTGCAGGGGCATTTCTGTATTTGGCTGTCTGAGGGGTAATTACCTGACTCCAGCTTCTGTCTTCTTATTCCCCTTGACTTGGAGCTTCAGAGTCTTTGCTGCAGACTGCCCTTGCTTTTCTCCTCGACCCAGACCCCACTTCTCTGCACTTGCCCAGCTACCGAGGGGCATCCGAGATGCCAGAGGAGCAGAGCACTCACCTTCCTGCTCTGTGGAAGCCAGGGTCAGGACGCAGGAGGCCAAGGCCAGCCACAGGACGGCAGGGCTGGCCATTGTTTCCATAAGCTGAGCTGTGCAGGTCACTCAGCGGCATGCAGACTGTCCATGCAGCTAGGGGAAGGGAAAGACCCAGGTGCGGTCAGAGCGACAGAGGTCGTCCCTCTGAGTGCCGGGGCGAGAAGGGAACTCACCTCAGCCGCTGCATACCTTCGCTCACGTCAGGCCTTGAACCCTCCCTCCAGGGAAGGTCCCGTCATTGTTCCCATTTTGTGGATGAAGAAGCTGAGATTCAGAAAACATTAACCACAGAAATATTCACTGAGGCCCTCCTACATGCCAGCACTATGCAGGATGTTAAATAGTTTGCTTAAGGCCACAGAGAGGACCGCTGACCTCTCTGAAGGGCTGTATTGTTCTAAAGCAGGTGTGACTTGCAGAAAGGAGACGGGGAAATAGGAAAAGGAGACTTGCCAAGAGGATGAGGTGGGCAGCAGAGAGCAGAGGCAGCTTCAAGCCAGCTGGCACTAAAGATGGTCCTAGAAGGCCTCGGGTTGGTTCCTAGTCAGGTGAAGGTAGAGGCTCTAGCAGGTGGGGCAGGGAGAGGTTGGCAGTACTGTGAGTACCGACGGACAAAGGGAACGGCTGCCCTTTCTTGGTTCTGGGCATCGGACACTGTGCTAAGAGCCCCCGGAGTGTTCTCTGCGCATGTGAATTTCTGAGCGTGGCACCATGTCACACTGACGCATCGCTTGTTCTTAGCACAGGGTCTGGCACACAACGGGTGCCCCGCAAGGTCTGAGGGATGAATGAATACATAAGTGGGGGGGGGGCGTGTGACAAAGAGCTGTGAAGAGCCTGGCTACACTCCAATCAATAACATTTCCTCTTCTGGGAAACCTTTCCTCCGATGGGCGTAGTTTTGGATGGCTCCTTCCAGCCTTGGGAAGACTTCAGTGAAAGATAGAGACCAGTTTGTTTCTGGAAGGGGTATCGTGAATGTGTTATAAGAGAGCCCCCAGGACCGTTAGTTCTGGAAGATGAATTAACGCCAGGAGAGGCCTGGCTTCCCGGCGGGGGCGCCCAGGAGCAAGGGCGAGGGGGCGTTGTTAGGTCTGGTGCAGCCAGCCGGTGCTTGGCATCGCGGGTCAGCTGGGCATGGTTGAGTGTATCGAGCATCTGACAAGGGCCGGGGTCCAAACTCCTGGCTGGGTTCTGAAAGCTCCCAGAAACAGATGACCCTCGCAAGGGCAGTGGGTCCAGGGTCAGGGGAGGCCTCCAGGCCCCGGAGAAGCCTGGTGGGGCTCGAAGCAGGACCTACCTTGGGCTGAGAACACCAGGCGTCCTCCGTCCCCAGACCAGCTGTGGAAACGCAAGCCTGCTGTAGACCGTGCTTTTATTGCAGCGTCCCATCTATGTGGCTCTCCACGATTGGTGCTGAGGGATGCCAGGAGTTAATCTCCTGGGCATACACGGGGCTTGTTGGCTGTAGGAAAGGTAAGCAGTTTACCACAAGGGATGGTGAAAGGAGGGCCCTTTGCCAGCCTCCCTCCCCAGTGTAAACCCTTCCAGCAGCCTCACCGCCCTGCAAATGCTTCCTATCAGCAATGCGGCAAGTCCCCCCTTATCTGCAGGGACTAGAGTCCAAGACCCCCAGCAGATGCCTGAAACCGTGCAAAGCACCGGACCCTGTGTGTACTATGTTTTTCCTACACCTACCTACCTGCGATCGAGTTTAATTTATAAAATAGGCACTGTAAGAGGTTAGTAGTAACTAATAATAAAAAGAACAGTTGTAACAATATACTGTAATTAAAGTTATGTGATGGGGGTCTCTCTCTCTTCCTCAAAATATCTTATTGTACTGCACTCACGCCTCTCGTGATGGTAGGAGGTGATACACTGCCGACGTGATGAGATGAAGTGAGTGAGTGACGTAGGCAGTGTGACGTAGCTTTCAGCTGCCGTTGACCTCCTTCTGACAGTATGTCATGAGCCATGGCAATGTCATGTCTTCGTCCCACAAACCAAATCCCTTTTTCATCTTCACTAAGCGCCTCTCAAGCACTGTGGCCGTAACATTTGCACCTGAGGTGTGACCGCAAAACTAGCACAAATTTCTTCTGTCGTTTTTCATCATTTTACAGATAGAAGATTCGTTCTTACCATAGATCTTAGCAACCTCAGCCTGCTCTATGTAGATTTTTGTTCTTCAGTCAAGAATTTTCACCTTTTCCGTTTAAGGAAGCGCCTTACGGCTTCTCTTTGGCATATGCGAATCGCCAGTATCACTACCCTTGTGCTTTGGGGCCGTTACTAAGTAAAATAAGTGTGACTTGGACACTGCGACAGCTGACAGTAGCCAGACGGTGGGTGGCATGGACACTGGATAAAGGGATGACCTCACGTCCCGGGTGGGGTGGAGCGGGGTGGCGCGAGACTTCATTACGCTACTCAGAATGGTGCACAACTTGCCAGTTGTTTATTTCTGGAACTTCCCTTTGAATGGTTTTGGGTCGTGGTTGACAGTGGGTAGCTGAAAGCTTGGAAAGAAAAACCATGGATGAGGGGGGACAGCTGGATGTCGTAAATGCTGAACACGCTGGGCTCTGCTGAGTGCTCTGCCCCCCATTCCCTCTCAGGTTTAATCCTCACAATAAACCAATGAAGCCGGTGCCACATTTATTACCGGAAGCCAAACATTAGTCAAAAGGAAGCTTAATACCAAAGGGAAGTGGAGAGAAGGCAAACAGGCACTTGTTTGCACACTGGATTTCCAATTGTACCTTGCGTTCCCAGCTGACGGCCTTAGAACACTTCTGCTTCTGTCTGGACGCCACTCAGCGTGGAGCCAGGTCAAGCAAGGTGGGTAAATAAATGGGTGCTTCCCATTTCGGGCCCTTGGGATCTTCCCAACTTCGGATACTCAATGTTGAGGCATCTGGGAAGGGCCAGTTGGGCGTTGGTGAGTCACGGAATGCAAAGGATAGACAAACATAGGCGCGTCACCGCCCCTCCAATTCCTTTTGATACGTGGGCGACCCTAGCAGTTGGCAGGTATGGAACCGACAGGACCATACCTTGGACCTGGCTTTGCATAAAAGAGTCAAAGCTTTTGCAGAACAAGCAGCCACCGTGTCTTTTGTGACACGCTAGGACTGTTGGAGCCACTGCTACTGGTGGCGGGGAGCCCAGGGACCCTGGCATTGGTTAACACCTTCTAGCAAAACCTCAACCTGGACAAAGAAAAGGTGCTATGAGCCACCTTCTCTCCTCAGCACATTTGGAGGAAAATCCCCTACATGTGGAACTTGTAACAGTCACAAATGCAGGATTCCAGAATTCATCAGAGCCCACAAAATCGCTCACTGATCTCTTCACTCTGGCCAGGCGCACACCCTCATCTCCCCAGCAGCCGCTCCCAACCTTCTGTTCTTTTCAGGTCTCTGCAGCCATCACTGCCCACTCCCTCGCCCCTTCCCGCCATTCTCAGCAGGGGTCTGGCTTCCTGCTTCAAGACAATGGAGGCCACCTTACCTGACCTCACTCAGCTTTGTGTCGCCTTCCTCTAGAGACACAGCAGCAGCCAGCTCCATCCTCCACTTTGCCCCCTCAACTTCTGGTGAGGTGAGGAGCTTCCTTTTCCAAGTCAGTTCCTGCATCCTCCCCCTGACGCCTCCACTCCAGTCTGAGCCACGTGGCTGAAACTGCCCTGCTAAGGTCATCTCACACGGAAGTCCACTGCTGGCCCCTTGGCACAACTGGACTATTTTGGCTGCCTCTACTCTGCGTTTCCTGGCCTCCTGTTCCACAATTTTCCGGATTCTCCTCGCCCTGTTTGTATCCTACGCCATCCTTAGCCTTCACCTTATATCCTCTTCCACCAAGCTGTCCTTGAGAATGCTGGCAGGTCCCATTTTTCTTGTCACCCCAGATACGCTCCCTGGGAAGTGTCGCATTACCTCATGGTTCCCAGCACCATCCACAGGCTGCTGGGTTCCAGATCTCTAACCCATCCCTTGAACTTCAGATCCATCGACCCAGTTCCCTGCCGGACCTCTGCTTGGGCTGAGATGCCGCAGCCACCTTGAACTCAGTAGGTCCAAATCGGAACTCATCAGCTCCACTGTCTCCCTCGTCACTGCATCACCTGTCTTAGTGGCACCGCTGCCTTTTTTTTTTTTTTCTCAAATTTTATTGGGGAACAGTGTGTTTTTCCAGGACCCATCATCTCCAAGTCAAGTAGTTGTTTCAATCTAGTTGTGGAGGGTGCAGCTCTGTGGCCCATGTGGGGATCGAACCGGCAACCTTGGTGGTATGAGCCTGTGCTCTAAGCACCTGAGCTCACCGGCCACCCCAAGCACCACTGCTTTTATAGGCAGCAAGGACCCCTGGCCACCCAAGCTGGAAACCCGGCCCCTTCTTTTCTCCTTCAGTCTACCAGTTCCAATAATCACCAAATCTTGCCACTCAGCCTTTTAAATATTTCTGGAATCTACTTTTTCTTCTTCACTTCACTGACCCTAATTCATCGTCTCTAATGAGGGCTATTTCACAGATGCCTCATGGGTTTCTCTCCTTTCATTCTTGTCCTCTTTGGTTCTGTTGTCTCCCCTGCAGCCAGATGCCACAGTGTCACCCTCAGCATCACCCTCTCCCCCACCCCCGACTCCTGGCTGGCTTCCTGGGACCTGACCCTTGTCCCCAGCTCCTGCCTCATCCATAGCATCGACCTGCACATTCTGTGCTGCAGCCCATCTGTGCTTCTCCGCTCTCCTCCCACCTCCAAACCTTTGCGTATGTCATTCCCCCTGCCGGGTCGCCCCACTCCCAGCCTGCCACGACTTAGCATTTATTTTTGAGGCTTGCCTCCTCTGGGAAGCCTTTCCTGAATTCCACAAGCTTGCTGGGCTTCTCTGCTCTCCTCCTAGGCCCCTCGAACGGCTATAAGATCTTTGTGGGCAGGGACCCTGTCTTGGCAGTTCTAACCAGACCTAGAAAGCTCTTGTTGAGTAAAGAAATGGACAGAATCACAGTGTGCACGCCCCAGACCCTCTCCTGTGAGTGATGCCTCAAACTTACGGCTTAGTCCAAGCCTGAGTCAAACTCTGGTGGAAAGACACAAGGGGCTGCCGCAGGGCCTTTGCACCTGCTGTTCCCATCACCTGTAATGTTCTTCCTCAGCTATCCCCCTGGTTCATTCTCTTACTTCTCTCAGCCTCTGCTTCTCAGAGACACCTTTCACGGCCATCCTATGTAAAATAATGCCCCATCACTCTATTACCCTTGTTTCTTTTTTAATCCCCCAGAGTGCTTGTCACCACCTGACAGGTCACATATGTATCCCCCCCACCCCCCTTTTTAAACATAAGCTCTTTTGCAGCAAGGGCTCTGTTTTGATTATGTGCTGTTTTCTCGCTGTCTGTAAAAGAGCCTGGCCTTGAATTGATGCTCAAAATATTCACTGACTATTGAGCTGAATAACTGATGGAAAAGAGGGGGGGGGAGAAAGCAAGGAAAGGCAAAGGAGCAGAGGGACAAAAGGATTGACGCTGATGTGCTGCTTCTCCCTGGCTCTGCGGCCCTTGTTTTGATTTTGCTTTATGTTCTGTTGTCCCTGATTCAGAGGGTGGGCGGCGCTGCACGTGGTCCAGACAGGCTCAGCTGGCCCTGGACTGACGGTGAACAGGGCTGAGCTCAGGCCGCAGTCCTCCCACCTAAAGCTCCTACGTAAAGGCAGCAGGGATGGGGGTTCAGCGCGCGTCTGCGTGTGATAAGACGTCCCCAACTCCAGATACGCTGTCCCCGCAGGCTCCGTGTACTGATACACACGTGCGGTTTTCCCTGGCGTCAGAAGGTTCTAGTAAGGCGACAGGGCCTTGGTCTCCCCTGCAAAGCCACGGCTGGAGTCCAGGGAAGCAGCTGGCATCAGGGCAGACGTTTCCCATTGGCATCGGCTTCCCTTGGCCCGCTGGGTACAGAGGCCCAGAGGCCTTTGGGATATCTGGGTCTCCTGGCCCAGCAGCCCCTTGGTTTCTGGTTGTGCCTCCAAGGAGCTTCCTGGAGGTCCCCCTTACCAAGCATCCCCTCCCGGCGCGGGTAATGGGTCTGCTTCCCCTGCTGCTGCTTCCGCGGCTCTGTAAACAGGTCTGCGTGTTCTGGATCGGGAGGGAGACGTGTCGTCGGGGGAGGGGGCCCCGAGTACGTGCCAGGCACATCGCCTGTAAGGGAGTGAGGCTCGCAACGGCAGGGACTCTGTCTGCCCTGTTCCCCAGTATTGGCCAGCAGCTGGCACCGCGCCTGGCATATACTGGTTCTCAAATGAATGTTTCTGGAAAACCGAATGAAGCCTGCGAGGGCATCACGGTTATCCCCATTATGCAGAGGCAGCGGCCCCCTGCTCTACCTGCCATTCCCGCCATGCCTGACACACTTGTAAATACCTGTTTGAGTTCTCCTCCCCCTGCCAGAGCTTAAGCCCCAGGAAGGCTGGGAGTGTGTCTGATTTGTTTGTGCTGCACCCCCGCTAGCACTGTGCCTGGCACATAGTAGGTGCTCAGCAAGTATTGAATGAATGAATGTATGCTGGGATGAATAAGTGGCTGGATGGATGAAGCTCAGAGACGTTGTGTATTTTATCTAAGGTCACACAGCAGAACCAGAGGTGAACCTCGTCTCTGTGACCAGGCTGTGGGCTCCACGAGGGAGGGAGGAAGCCTGATGTCTCTCACCATGGGAACCTCAGCACCACACCACGAACAGCACCTGGTACAGTAGGTGCTCAGTAAATACTTGCTAAATGAATGAATGACTTCACAAGGATGAGCTTTTAAAATTATCATTTTGCCACCCTCTTGAGGGAGACAGGGGCCTCATGTGCAGACACGTCACAAGCCCCGTTTTGAGAGAAGGCAGCATTTAAAGACACAGGCTGTTTGGGGGAGCGAGGATGGAAGGAGAGAAAAGAGGAGAAAACAGCTGACTCCAGTGTGAGGGCCCTTTCTGTGTCTGCAGCGCTAGGCTGCGTCGCCTCCCCAGCCGGCAGCAAGTGACGTGGCAGCCAGAGGGCACAGGGTTTCCGCCTGCCGATCACTGTGCCATCAGGGTCAGGGTCGCCGACAGCAGCAGAGGCAGCCAGACCTTCAGGAGCCCTGAAAGGAAAGCGGTGACGGGGTCACTGCTGGCACTGAGGCCCCTTTGTGCAAAACTAACATAAGATGCCTTCTCTGGAGTGGCCAGTTAGGAAAGGACATGCTCTCTGGGCTGATCAGTTAGAAAAAGGAAACTTTATCTGCCCTGAAAGCCAATTAGAAAAAGGTGCCCTCCCAGGTGGACCAATTTGAAGAAGATGGCCTTTTCCTCTGGTCTTGGCTTGGTATCCCCTCAGAAGGGCCCTCCTGTGCAGTGCCCAACCTGCTCTACCGTCCTTGGCATTTTGGGATATTCACAGAGGACAAGCCTCTTAGGAACCCTTGACACTCACTGGTGCTGGGTTGAACTAGCTCAAGTCAAACCCTGGGTTGGTGGAACAGTCCCCTTGGATCTAGGTGCCAGGGGCCAGGAAGGCCACCAGTTACATGGATTCACTTTTCATCCACATTCCCAGACAATTCAGTAGCCAGGAAAACCAAGGGCCCTAGAAATGCCACCAGTCCCTGGCCTTTGTCTTCAGAGGAGCAGAGAGGCAGAGGAACGGGGCTTCTTGTCTGTCTGTCATGTTCAGCCCAGCACTAAGCATGGTGCGTGGCCTGTAGTAACACCCGGCATATATCTGTCACCTGTGGGATGGAGCCTGGAAATGGTGTTAGACATGAGCCATGAGGCTCCAGGAAATGCCCGAGCTACAGGTCTAGAGTGCATACGTGTCTGTTGTGTACAGGTCTGTAACCAGTGTGAGCATGTCTGTACGTGCACATATGCACGCAATGCTAGCTGTGCATCTGAGTGTGCAAATGTGAATGTATGCATGCGACCCGTATGTGTGTGTGTGCGAACATGTCTGGATGATGTGTGCTCTCGTGGGCCTGTCTGTGCGTGCCTGTAGCGTATACACTACTGTGGGACAACGTGGGTATAGGAGCAGATGTCCAGCCCCAGGTCCAGCCGTTTCCGCAGATGCTGTCGCCTCTTCAGCACTCGGGCCAAGCTGGCCAGCGCTCCCTGGGCCCACAGATAAAAGCCCCGGGGGAGGGTTCTGGTGCAGGTCCTTCTGAAAGAGGCCCTCAACTTACCCATATTGCTGGGAGCAGCGCCCGAGGTTGTGGCCTGGACACCTGTAGGGGGAGACAGAAAGGTCAGTGTGAGGAGAAGCGAGGATGCCCTCAGTCTGCCTTTCTCTCGCAGCCAGGGCGGTCTTTCCGAAACCCCGATCTGAGCAGGTCCCTCTCCTGCTCTGGACCCTTCAGGGCTCCCGCTGTTTTCAAGAGAAGGACCCAAAACCTGAGCAAGAACTACGAGGGCCCACATGGTCTCGGCCACCTGCATCAGCCCCACCCCACCCCCCATCTCCTTCTCCCAGCCTGCCTGGTCTTCTCGCAGCTATTCTGGCAGGCTGGGCTCCCTGACCACAGGCCGTTTGCCCGTGTGATACCCTCTGCCTGGCAACCCTCTCGTTCACCCCCTTTCCCTGATCCCGCCTCAGCTTCCAAATCTCAGCTCCATTCTTCCCCAGTCCTCCAGACAGGGTCTGGTTCCTCTGTTGTAAGAGCTCAGAGTTCCTAATATATTTTCTTGATGACACTTATCACAATATCTATCTATCTATCATCTATCTGACTCTTTGAATGATGTCCCCACCCCACTGGTCCATAAGCTACATGTAAGCGGAGCCTGTATCTATTTTGCTTATCACGAGATACCCACAGGGCCTGGCACACAGTAGGCACAAGAATATATTTGTGGAATGAATGACTGGATGAGGTCTGCTAAAAGGAAGGCAGCTTATAGTCCATCTTGCCCTTCAGAACCCATGTGTTCCAGCTCTTCGGACCCTAAGCGCCAGGTTCTGTCCCTCTGTGTCTCCCGAGAACGTGCCCCGCCTGGAAGGTGTAGGAGTGGCCCTCTTACCTTTTCGCACGATGGGACCCAAGTTCAGGACATGGGTTTGGTCTATGATGCCCCCACGGTGGGATCTGGTCCTGGAGCAGGTCTGCAGGGAGAGGGTGACAAGCCCTTCCGTGAGGGGGACAGTGTGGCCCTACCCTGGGGAGGGGGCTACACCCCTCAGAGGAGTATCCTCCTGCCCCAGGCTGGGGCTGGAGGGTGGGGGCGGCAGGAGTTGTTAGGTCTCTGGGTTCCTGTCCGTCTCCACCACGTCTTAGATGTCTGATCTTAGGAACGTCCCTTAAGTTCTCTGAGCCTCTCTCCCACTATAGAAAAGGGGACTAGCGCAATATGGACCTTACTGAGTTGCTGCGAAGAATTAAAAAGTTAATACAGATAAGGTGTGCGCCATACTTTAAAACGTCAGCCTCTGCTCGGAGAACAGAGCCCCAGATAAGCCAGCACACTTCAGGGATCCCACCTGAGCTCCCAGCACCTTAGGTCTCCTGCTGGCCACCCCCACCCCCACCCCGTTTACTGCTCAGAGAAACAGCAGAGCCACGTGTTTCGTTTTTTAGATCTGGTGGCCAGATATCTTCGGTCTGGGGAGCGGGGCGAGGGGAAGGGCACGGCCATAGGCTGAGGGAGGGGAGGTGACTCACAGGTTTGCACTTTTCATTCACCGTGTCACACAGGTACACTTCACAGTGTAGGTAGACCAGGTCATGGTTCCCCGCAAATCGGAACATCTGGACTGAAAACCGGCCCTGAGGGGACTCCCCGTTCTCCAGCACCTGGATGGTGGAGTCCTCAGCACGTGGACACCTGAGAGGGTTACGTCAGATAAGGGAGTGGGTTAAGCAAACACGCGGGGGGGGGGGGTCCTGACTTCCTGGGTTCAAATCTCATTCCGCCGTCTATTGGCTGTGTGACCTTGGGTAAATTACTTGAGTTCTCTGTGCTCCAGTGTCCCCATTTGCGTACAGGGAATAATAACGGTAACCCATATCATAAGACAGTTGTGAGGATTAAATGAGTTCGTGTCTCAAAGTGCCACTACAGTACGTGGCACACAGTGGGTGCTCCATACTTAGGGTGCTAGAGAGAAAATGTCATCAGCAGAGTTGAAACTATCCAAAAGTTAGCATTTTCTGACTTCCCAGGAAATAGCATTCGGGAATCAGCAGCTGTATTTATTGGCGTCCAGCTCGGCCCCTGGCAGCCCCATGTACTCAGGCTGAGCAGGGCTCCCAGAGGTCCCCTCTAGCCACTCTCATGTCTCCTTACACGTCCTGTGACATTCTGACCTCCCCGAGGCCGTGGTCCTCGACCTGGCTCCCACACACGCCCAGACAAGCATTTCCTTCTGCTTCCTTTCCAAAACTCTCCAAGCTTTTCCATAGTGTACATGCTGTACTTTTTCACTCAGAAAAAGATAAAAATCCCCACACAGTAGGTAGTATTTATGCCCATTTCACACGTGAGAATATGAATATTCAGAGAGATGAGCTGACTTGTGTCTCAGAACTAGGAAAAAGCAAAGCCAAGATCTGAACCCCAATCTCCATGCCCCTCTCCCCCCACCCCCCATTACTGTCACGCCAGCGTTCTCCAAATTTCAGTTCTTTTTTTGCATTAGCTAGATGCCACCTTTGCGAATACCGTCCTGTGTTTCCCAAATAATTTACTTATGACTCTTCTTTAAATCTCCTTACATCTGTACTGAGATGCACCTATTTTTCAAAGATCAATCCCACAAATAGCAGACTGGTATGACTGAGCATGCATCCAACACGACCGTACAAAGAAATGCAAAGTAAAACACAGCTGGTAAATTTCAGTTAGACATTTAACCACGGTCTGCCAAAGGCCCTCAAACAGACTTGCGCTTTATTATTATTATTGTTATTATTATTGCAAAGGGAGATGAACAAGAAACAGAGGTGTGAACGGCAGGTGGGCACCCACCTGAGACGTCCCCCTGGGTGTCACCAGGCTGATTCTAAGAGAACAGGAGCAGGAATCGGTCACTCTGGGGGACACTTTCTCTAACTGCAAAGCCCCTGCCCATCCCTGTGTCACTTTTTCTTTTTCTAGCCCTGTTACCGCTGACATGCTGTCAATTTCACTTTTGTTTCATTGCTGGTCATCAGCTGTAGGCAGGCAGAGGTGTGTGTCACTTCTGCTCACTGTGTTATCCACAGAGCCTGGCACACAGGAAGCTTTCAAAAATATCTGTTCAGCCTAGGAAATGCAACTGAGCTACTTTTCCATGGTGTGGTTCAAGATTCTCTAATGCCGTCTGAGTGAGAGCAGCACGCGTGAGTTCTCCATTTCAGCTGGTCCTCTGTCCACCGTGACTGCCTCCTGCCCTTTTCTGTCAGGTTTATTGCCCTTCCCTGAGACCTGGACCCCCCCCCACCGCCCCACAACCTTCTGGGGAAGCCCATGCACACCTCCTCAAAAATAATGTTTTAAATGCGTACAATAAAGTACATCAGATTATAAAGGAAACCAATTAAATCGAAACATAGTTCTTAAAATATTAAAACATTTGACAAATGCATTATATATTTACATATCTATTATATATAAATGTACATATTTACAAGTACACACACTTGATAATACGTTACATCAGGCGATCTAGTAGAAATTCTAATACTGTGGCAACCGAAAAGCACTGAGGAGTGTAAATGTTGTCACGTGTCCTGCTAATACATCTGTGGTTTGTTGGCTGCTCATAACGGATGGCTAAATTTCAGCCAGAGGTTAGTGAATATAAAGGTGTCCTTTCCCCGCATCCAAGTCCAAAGACCCCCTTGAATTCTGTCCGTGGGCCTTACCTGTCCTGAATGATGAAGTACTTCAGGGGGTCTGTGGCGATGCCGCTGGGCGTGGCGTAGCAGTTGGTCATTAGCAGTGCAAACCGGGACAGGTCGCCCCCATCCATCATGGTGCCCACGTAGAGAAAGGCCTCGGTGGACAGGGTCACGGAGGATCCTTGGTAGGGCTGCCTGTAGGCGGGGCTCTGGAAAAGCGCCATCCGCACGGTGAATAGGCCGGTCCCGCCCATGCTGATGTTCAGGCCACTGTAGGGGGATAGAGGAGGGGAGGGAAAGGGGGCCAGACCTGAGAGCAGCAGAGGGGCCCCCCCTCTCTGGTCTGCTTCCTGGGCCACCCCTGGCAGCGGTTGGCACTTGTGTCCAGCAGTCGCACTGGAACCCACCAACCACTGCTTTATAAAACTGCGCTGGACACCCACGGGTCACCTCAGGATCTTGTTGCAATGCAGGTTCTGAGTCAGCAGGTCTGGGCTGGGGCTCCAGGTTCTGCATTGCTAACAAGCCCCCAGGGGAGGTTGACGCTGCTGGTCCACAGACCACACTTTTGGGAACATGTCCACCCCCTCACTTGGTGGCCCTGGCTTTCAAGATGTGCAGCCAACAAATTTCCAAGGGAATCACCTAGATTTCTTCTTTGGCCTCAACCTGCAAACAGGTCAAAGGGATGGGCTATGAGCAGTGCAGGCCCTGGTCAGAGTTCTGGCTCGGTACAATGGAAGATTGGGGGGTTTTCAGATGGCTGACTTTTAACTTCATTGACAACATTCATACTGATGTAGATGTCACGGGATGATCTCACAAAGGCCCCAGGAAATAAGGTGCGTGAGAAATGCTCAGTGACGGAAAGTGCATTTGCCAGGTGACGTTGGGTTTTCGGTTTGGACTCAGAGTTGGACGGGGAGCACGCTGTCCGGCTCAAACCAGAGAGAGATTTGCACTCCGGTGTGTTGTTCCCTGGAGCCTACCAGGGCAGGGACGCGGCCACATTGGGGCCAGGACACTAACCTGCCCAGGTGATGCTCTAGCCAGAGGCAGACTTCTTCCCCCGAGTCACCACGCACCCTTCCCTAAGTCTGGTTGGCCCAGAGAACACACAGTCATGGGCTGGTTTCAAAGTGAAGGTCGTGGGACAGTAGGCGCTCTGGGTTTGAACCCAGCTCTGCCACTTACTAGACTCTGTAACTTGGGGCAAGTTACTCAACCTTCTTGAGCCTCAGTTTCCATATCTGTGTAATGGGAATAACAATCATCCTGCACCTCCCAGGTGCTCTAAGATTTCAAGATGTTCTGTTGTGCGTTGAGCACCATGTCTGACATGTAGTCAGCGCTTTAGCCTATGATTCATCCTATTCGGAGATTTTCAGTTGTATTTAGCAGCCGAATCCTTTAATATTTTTAAACACGAAAACCTCATGTGGCACTCAATATGGGTGGAACTTCTCCGGTTCAACCCACAGGCACCCCCAAGGGACCTCCCTAAAGACCCTCAAACTCCAAGAGGCATAATTCGTGAATCCCTTTCTAATCAAACTCCTTTTACTTAAGGAAGGAAACTGAAGTCCAAATATGGGCTATGATTTGCCCAAAGTCCCATAGCAGCTCAGGACTGAGAGCCAGCCCTCCCTTCTTCCCTCCAGTCCAAACACCCCACCCTCCTGATAAGCCAGTGACCCTAATATTTGAGCCCCGTCTGCAGAGCACTATGTACTTCTAAGAAAGGCAGTACATCGCGAAACCTATTTCACAGATGAAAAGACCCCATAGTGGGGCTGTCAGCTTCCCAAAGCCATCTGCTTAGGATGCGACAGCCTGGATTGGAATCTGGGCGCCGTAATTCCTGGCTGGGATCCTCCCAGTCCCTCCACCCAGCTCCTGATGGGAGGCAGTTGCCAGGGAAACTGAGGACCTGGTGGTTAAGGGATTGAGGGCTGGAGCCGGCCAGGAGCACTGGGGACCCTCTCTGGCCGCACCTGACCATAGGCTCCAGGGAGGTCTGCAGGCTGACTTTCATATCCAGGGGGTAGGAGCACTCAAAGTTGAAGTGGGTGTCGACGTCACGGATGATGATGTCTTTTGCCAGGTAGAGGACGTTGCTGTACGTGGCATGCGTTTCGTTTTTCTGTGTTGCGGGGGAGAAAGACAGGGCATGAGAAGCCGGGGGAGAGCGCGGACCCAAAGGGGTTTTCTCCAGTCACTTGGGAGCTGCCCTCCCAGTGTCCTCCATCAAAACAGCAACCTTTTATGAGCACGCGTCACGTGCGAGGCCCTGAGTTAAACGCTCGTCCTGCGTCCCTGACCCTAAGAGGGAGGGCCGCCTCCCTGCCTCGTGATGAGACAGGTTCACAGAAAGTGAGCAACTCTGAGGAACTCATTCGCAGCTCGCGGGACCTGTGAGCCTCGGCTCTTGCCTGACGCCGTGGTTCCTCTGCCAAATAGTAATGATGCCGGGTCATCATTAATGGCGGACTTCAAATTAGTTCATTTCTCCTTCCTTGCTTTGCCTTCTGTCCTTTGGGAGGCGGGGGTGAGGGAGTGGGGGGAAGCACCGCTCTGCTTACATGCTGAGCTCTGGGTCCCTTTTCCAGGGGCTTCTGTAGGTGAGGTCCAGGTTCTCCCAACACCAATGACGCACACCCGCCTCCCAGGACCTGCTTCTGAACCCAGCACGATACCGACTGGCCTGGAAGAAGCCCAGCCTTGTCTGGGCCCTACTATTCCCATCTCTCAAATGGGAGACTGTCAGCTTTTCCTGAAGCTGACTTTCACTGAGCACTTACTATGTGCCAGTCACTGCCCCACTCACTCCACATGGGTCTTAACCCTCTTGAAGACCCACAAAGTAGGTACGATTACTGCTCCACTTTACAGTTGAGAAAACTGAGGCACTGCCTGGCTAAATAAATAACTCACCCAAGCTCATACAACCAGTAAGTTGCAGAGCTGGGACTTCAGCTAGGCAGTGCCCCAGCCCTGTCGCACACTGGCCAGCACGTACTGTCATTGCTGTGCCACAGGGGCCATCCCTGGCCGGGGTCACCACAGACATCCAGACCCGCTCGCCCCTCTCGGCGAAGGCTGAACACTGGCTGTCACGCAGGTACATGTAGATCTTCTCAAACTCCAGGCTCTTCAGCTGGCACTTGCTCAGGGACACTTTGATGTCATTGGCCCCACACTCCAGCGTGTAATCCAGGTGAGAGAGGTCTGAAATGGACAGGGAAGGTGGGATTGGAGACCTGTGGCCACCATCAGGGGTCCAGCATGTCCCCAGGGCCCAGCTCAGAGCAGCCTCGCTCTGGTCTCGCTGGGGTCTCCCCTTCAGAGTGATGGAGACACAAGAGTGGCTTCTGAGCCTCACTGAAGGGACCCAAGGCACCAACCATTAGCCCCCATGTTACCTGAAGTGTAGGGTGCCTACAAACAGGATGATTTGGGGGTCTTCACTGTGCCACCATTAGGAAACACTGAATCCCAGTTTTTTGTTTTGTTTTTTTTAAAAACTAAGTTAATTGCAATTTCTTTCTATACCAAGGAGACAGTCCCTACTAGCTGCTAATGCTGTGAATGTTAATTTCTCCCGTAAAACTGAGCTCAGACCTCAGGCTAAGTGTTTGGAGCACGCAGTGGTGTCGGGCTGGGCTGCTTTTAACTTCGTTTTATGGAAGTATTACACAGCTGCTGGAATTCAATAACTTCTATTGTATTTATTTATGCTGTTACTTTCTGTCTAAAGTAAGGGTTATTTGCCGTAGATTGATGTAGTGACCATCAATGTTCCAGGTTTACTTACAAGATGCAATCCACTTGAAGAAAGGCAGGATAATAACAAAATCCCGGTATAGATGGTACTTGGGTACAGTAAAATTGTGAAACTGGCACATACATGTGACTAAAATTGTGAGTGAGGGTTGGGACATACTAGCTGGCTTCCATCGCCGTACATGCGGGGAAACTGAGGCTTAGAGCTGGCCAGAGGCTTGCTGGTGGTCCTCAGCTGACCAGTAAGAAATGGCACACCGGTCGCCAGTCCTGTGTTCTCGAGCTACAAGAATATGGCTCAGGTGGCCTTTGGGCAACAAGTGGCAGCCACCTGTGCATCCACCGTGGTGCCAGGGCCTCAGAAAGAAGGCTGGGGGTGAGGAGGCCCCCAAACTCTGGGAGTTTTGGGTCAACTAAGGGGAGATTCTGAGAACCCAGAGAGCTTCTTGCTGGCTTTAATGCATGTTGTTGTCCCCACCCTCAGGAATGTCGCTGACATTTCTTCACACCTCCCCCGTCCCCAGTGCCTCACCCATGCTTGCGCCCTTCAGGTCCTGTTTGCACTCGCAGCGCCACCTGCCGTTCTCCGATATGCAGTCCTCTTCGGCACTGCAGTCCTCGCAGGGCCCGTCCACAGAGCTGGGGTCTGCAGGCTCAGGGCCAGTCAGCTCGGGTGCGCCCCAGTCGCCCGCGGTGCCCATCCCATCGGGGTTGGGGGAGGCCCCTGCTCACCTGTGCAGTACGCCAGATGGCACTCGGGAGGCGGCGTCAGGTTGTAGACATAGTACCCGCCGGCACAGGCCTTCACCTGGACGGGCGCGTCCCACAGGCAGCAGTCGCCGTTCCAGTGCGCGCAGGCCGTGAGGCTCACGATGCCCTCGTCGCTGGACGGGTGCGTGCCGTTGAGCCACATGGGTGCGGCTGTGTTGCAGTGCAGGGTGGGCACACAGGTCTCAGCCAGGCGCGTGCCGCCCCTCCCCACGAAGCGGTGCCAACCGCGCAGGTTCGAGTCGCAGGTGTAGCCACTCGCGTGCTCGGAGCTGCGCCAGTACTGGTCCAGGGTGCTGTGCGCCTGGCACGGGTCGGCACACACGAGCGCCTCGCCCTGGGGCACGCAGTCCAGCCCCGGCCCGCAGGAGCCCGGGGAGCACTCGCAGAGCCGCCCGTCCCCCCAGTAGCCCGCAGGGCACACACACGAGTAGTTGCCGTGGCCATTGGTGCAAGAGGCCAGGGGATGACAGCCACTGAGCTCCGGCTCTGCGCACTCGTCCACGTCGGTGCAGCCCAGCTCGGGTGTCAGACGGAAGCCCTGGGCGCATGCGCACACGTAGGAGCCCGGGATGTTCACGCAACTGCTGTCGCTGGAGCAGTTGTGGGCCTCCGGGTTGGCGCATTCGTCCAGGTCCACGCAGTCGAGGCCGTCACCAGTGAAGCCCTCATGGCAGGAGCACGTCGTGAGAGCCCCTTCCTCCATGCAAGTGGCATTGCTGTGACATTCAGAGCAACTTCCTGCAGACAGAAGAGCCCAGCCTCACAGTGGGGGCAGCGGGGCCAGAAGTCACCCAGAGCTACCTCCGTGTCCCATAAGGACCCCGTGCTCTGGAAGACTTAGCCTCAAGGTGCCACCCTCCCAAACAAACACAACCCCCAGATGACGGCTGCGCTTCCCCCATTCATTCCCGTGTCTTAGGCGGTCCCTTCAAACTGCATCTTAAAACACCCGCATTCCCGCGTCCAGAGGGAAGATGCAGAGGTCCGGACACCTCCCCAGGATTCCCGCCCCCTGTCGACCTCTTGCCCACCTTTGTACATTTGATGCTTTTTATCCCCATTTCCTTCTTTTCCTGGTAAACCTTCCGTAAGGCCGCTCAGTGTGGCCTCTTCTCTGGAAACGCCCTCACATGGTTGTGGGGGCCACACGCTGCGTGTGCGCCTCTGACCATGATAGTAAAGCTCAGCTGTCGTTGGTTAGGCCGGTGCTGTATGCCAGACGCTGCGGTAGGTGCTTTCAGTCCTTGTACCTTGAATCCTCCACACTGGTCCTAGAGCAGCGGTTCTCAACCTTCCTGATGCCGCAACCCCTTAATCCAGTTCCTCATGTTGTGGGGACCCCCAACCATAAAATTATTTTCGTTGCTACTCTAAAACTGTCATTTTGCTACTGTTATGAATCGTAATGTAAATAGTTTTTTGTTTTCCGATGGTCTTAGGCGACCCCTGTGAAAGGGTCGTTCGACCCTCAAAGGGGTCGCGACCCACAGGTTGAGAACCGCTGTCCTAGAGGATCACTTTCGCATTTACCCTTATTTTAAGCACGAGGACGCTGAGGTCCAGAGGTTTAAGCCACGTGTTGCTAAGTAGCAGCACCAGGATGCAAAGCCAAGTGGCAGGACCGTGGTGCAGGCGCTGTCAGTCATGACCCTGCAGCAGCAGTTACTGTGCCCCCAGCTCCGGGAGGCGCCCTGTTCCCTTCCCCAATGAGAAGCTGAGAGCAGAGTGAGGGCCACACGCCACCCAATGGAATGACCTCCTAAGTGTGAGAGCCCCCAGGCGTGTTTACATCTCCTGGGTGGCTGAGTGTGTTCCTGGCCTTCCAGGAAGGTGCCCGGGGCCTTAGTCTAGACTCTTGCTTCTCCATGCGTGCTCCAGGGACCACAGTGTCAGATCACCTGGGAGCTTGTCAGAAATACAGTCTCAGGCCCCATTATTCCTGGGTGAGTTCTGTGTACGTTAAAGTGTAAGAAATGGATTTAGCATAAAGGCTGTGCAGGTCCCAGGCACGACTGAAGAGGGATGGAGATTTCCTCTGCTAAGGGCAGCATTGCCCCCCCACACACACACACATGCACACACACATACATTTGCACACATATATATGCACACACACGCACACACCACCACCACCATCACCACTTACTTTTGTCTGAGGTGTCAGCGGCTGTAGCTGTGATGACCCAGGAGGCCACCACTGCTACCATCAGCATTGAGGTCAGAGCAAAAAGCCGCCCCATCCTTTTTGCTCTTCACAGCTACTGGTTTGGGGAAGTCCTGCCCAAAGGCGAGGGCAAGCTGGCCCCTTGGGCTTCCCTTGCTTGATGCCTGAAGTCCTGTGAACAGAGATGGGTGGGATAAATGCATGCTCTCACCCCCCTCCGCAGAGCCAGGGGCCGGTTAAGTGTGCGCTGCACAGCTCCGGGAGACACCTTGTGTCTGAACTACAAAAGGGGTGTAGTGCCGTGGCCTGGCTTTGGCGGGAATGCCCCTCTGTGACCCCACCCTACTCACATCACAGCGGCTCTTCCCCTCCCCCCGCCTCCTGGAAACTCTCAACATGCCCAGATCCATTATCCACTCAACAAACATCTATTGAATTGCTACTATGTTCCAAACAGGGAACTACACACCAAGAAAAACCATGACCAGGACAGACAAAGTGTCTGACTTCATGCAACTCATCTATTGTAAAGCAGTGGCTGGAAATATGTAATCTGAGAGGTGATTAACTTTCACCATGTATTTGAATGTTTCCAGAGGGGTCCAGAGGGGTCACTTATTATTCTGCCCAAATGGGTAAAATAATCCTAGGCGGGCACTACTAACACCCACATTTTTACAGCAGCGAACGTGGGCAGCATGGTGGTTATATGTGTGACTTGGAGCTGCTCCCCCCACGACTCACACCCCCATTTTTCCAGTCACTAACAGTGTGAGATTGGGCAAGGTATTTCAATCCGCTAGAGTTAAGTTTCCTCATCTATGAAATAGGGACCGCTGCTTCCACAAATCGAGTGCCTGTGGCGGGCTGGGCTGAGTCTGAAGAAGTCTTCAAAAGGATGCGTGTTGTAGAATAGGATTTTCCAAGCTTTTGTGACTGTAATCTGCTAGAGGGAACGTTTTCTCCTGTGACCCAGTGCCGTTGTTTGTGCTTCTGCGTGTGTGTGTGTGTGTGTGTGTGTGTGTGTGTTATAAAACAATTATTATTATTGTGTGCATTGCTGGCTGCCGTATTCTGTTGTATTTAATTAAAAGGAAATTTTAGATACAGTCCACATATGGTTTCATGATCCGCTGAATGGCTTGACCTATAGTTTGAAAACCACTCTGGTGGGTAGTCACCGAGCGTACGTTGTTGTCGTGGGGATTAACTACGGTGATATATGCAAAGCAGGGCCTGGCACATCACAAACGCTCTTGTTCACTGCTGCATCCCCAGGGCCTGGTACATAGTAGGCGCTTCATTAATATTCGTTGAATGCATGAAAAAACAGTGGCTAATGTTAATAGGACCAAAGAGGAGATTAGCTTACAGAGAATCATGAAGCCACGAGTCAGCAGAGTAATGACTCAGTCTAGGTCTGACCCAAGTGTCCAATCTCTTAATTTCCTCTCCCTTCCTCTCCCCCTTCCTCCAACAGAATGGGGACCAGCAGAAGACTGGGGGACAGAGAAGCGGCTGGGAGAAGAGACCTTACCTTCAGGTAGGCTTACCTGAGGCCAGAGAGGTCGAATTAATCCATTTGCGAGTGTGTGCCCCCTAAGTGTACATCTGCCCCTGCCTGGCACTCTCTCCTCCTTTTATTCTCTGGCTCTGTTTCTTGAGATTTTTTTTTTTTCTTGGGAGTGGAATATTTTGCCCTTTGGGCACAGTGTTTTTCCTTTTCTAGCCTGTGAGGTGGTTCTTTTTCCTTATAGGTACAGACCCCAAGTGATTGACACTGGGAGGGGGGGGTCACACGTGTGCCCGCAAATACAAAGCTGCTGCTTTGCACCTGTTAGCATCCAGAGATGCCTTAGTTAGAAATTAACTTAAGAAAGCAGTGCCAAGGGACCGGGCGTTTTCTTGGGCATTGACAAGGACAAGGTGGACCCAAGGAGACAGACAGGCAGAGGCTGGTATCTGAAGCGAGGCTGCGCCAGGAGAAGAGGGGTGTTCACTGCCCCCACTGGGAACACTCGGGTTCCCTGTCCTGGAGACAGCCCCCTCTGAAGCATCCCCATCCCCACGGGCTCAGCCAGCTGCCCTGGGGTCCAGACATGAGCTGGCAGGAGAGGAGCTGAGAATGGTTCAAGGTCAGACACAAAAAGTAATTCAGACATCATGGGACCAGGCCCACTCTATAAAATAAGAAACCCGAGTTCCGCCCGAGGGACGGTCTCTTGGGAAGTGGAGAACTTTGTGATTGAATGGACTTCAGGGTCCGTCTGTCTGAATCCATCAGCTATTTCTTGTCTGCCGGCAGCCTCCTTCCTTAACCTTCTTGGGGTCACTTTCGTGGTCTATACAATGAGAATACCCATCTCCAGAGTTGTTACAATGGTTCAAGGAGATGACGTGAGGAAAAACACATAATAATGACTCCGTCCGTGGAATTCAGTGCCAGCGGTGCTTTGCCGAGGTACAGTCGCAGGGGCAGAAAATGATGGAGCCTGGGCTCTGCCTCGTGGCTCTTGACCGAGTCCCATGGAGACGGCCATCCAACCTGAGTGAGTCACGTTGAGAAAAATCAAATGTGTGTGAACTTGGGCTGAGCAGCGACCTCCTGCATTTACTTTTCCAGGACCTTTTTTATTGTCTGTTAGTGGTGGGAACCATCAGGCCTGGTGCCCCCGTTATAGCCCGGGGACCTGTAGGCGGCACACACAGCCTCTGGCTTGTGGCCAGTCAGGGACTCTGTTCCCCGTGATTCGGTGAGCGGCCCCCAGGACCCTTCCTTCCACCAGAAGCCAATGGCCTGAGGCTGACCCAGGTGAGCAGGCACCGTGTCCTGAATACTAACACCTGCCCCTGTGGGGACACCTGGGTCAGGTGAGGTGCGGGGCCCCCAGACCCCCTGCGCCATGTGGGGGTGAACACGCCAGTCTGGAGGAGGGCAGGCATGGGAGCTGGCCCTGCAGGGCTGAAACAGCACAAACAGTGTGCCTTCCTGAAAGGTGGGAAGTGAGGAGCCCAGATGGTTTGTGGAGATCTTGGTTCCTGCTTTTCCCAAGGGAAGGGCTATTATTATCAGCTGGCTGAAATACCACAAACGAGCAGTGAGCGGCTGTGGTCAGCTGAGTAATGACCCCCCCCCACTATGTCCACGTCCTAAGCCCCAGAACTTGCGAAGGTTACACGGCAAAAGGGACTTTGCAGGTGTGATGAAGTTCAGGATCTTGAGATGGAGAGGCTCTGCGGGCAGGCCTGATGCAATCACGGTGGTGCTTATGCGAGAGAGGGGGGAGGAGTCAGGGTCAGAGGAAGGGTGTGAGGATGGGAACAAGAAGTCAGTGATTCGAGGAAGGACCCAGGAGCCGAGGAATGCCGGCGGCCTCCGGAAGCTGGAAAGGCCAGCCGAGAGATTCTGTACTTCAGTGGAAGCAATGTCTGATTGCTGGCCTCCAGAGCTGTACGAGGATAAATGGGTATTGTTTTGAGCCACTGAATTTGTGGGGATTTGTCAGAGCGATCATAGGAAATGAGTGCAGAATCTAATTTGGGCCTGGGGACAATGCGGTCAGCACCACTCCCTTTTGGGGTGACTGGGAAGTCATGTAGCTCCGAGCCAGGGTGCTGCCTGATACGGAATTTCATTTGACCCATGGTTACTTATCAAGCATCTACTGTGTCCAACCAGCGTTCTGGGCATGGGGAGTGCAGAGGCGAAGGAAGTACGTGTCTGCTCCCCTGGGGCCTACACACCAGGGCAGGAAGTAGGCAGCGACTCGTGTTCAACAAAGGAATAAGACACTTTCAAATACCGCTATCTGGGAATGCCTCTCTGAGGTGGTGACATTTGAGCTGAGCTTTGAAGGTTGAAAAGGACCCAGATGCATGAGGATCTGGGGGAGGCGGTATTCTATGTTCATGTAAGAAGAAACAGCCATGGAGAGAGAGGAGGAGTTTGAGTCGTTCCAAGAATAGGCTGGAGCCTGGAACGGTAGGAGGAGACGAGATCTGTGGAACTCTCCGGGCCCTGACGACCTGGTAAGCAGACTGGATTGTATTGTAAAAGCGATAAGGACGCCATTCGAGGGTGAAAGCAAGGTGGTGGTAGGAGCCTTCGGGGCGATGGCTTTTTTTTTTTTAATTGTTAGTTTCAGGTGTACAGAACAATACAATAGTTATCCTTTTCACCCTCACAGAGTAACAACCCCCCTCTCCCCATGTAGCTAAGACTTGGAAGCAACCAAAATGCCCATCGGTAGATGACTGGATTAAGAAACTTTGGTACATTTACACAATGGAGTATTANAGAGAAAGACAAATATCATATGATCTCACTTATACGTGGATTCTAAGGAACTGAATGGATGGGAGAAGTGGATGGAGATAGTCTCAGAGACACAGGAAGAAATGAGGGTTGTTAGCTGGGAGGGGGTGGGGATGAAGAAGAGGGGAAGGGATGAGACGGTACATATTGGTAATTGCAATATGGCCTCAGGGATAGACAAGACAGTCTGGGGAATATAATCAATAATGTTGTAAATATTTCTTAGGGGGCCAGATGGACTTATGTCCTGTTGGGGAGACCACTTCATAGTCGGTGTAGAGGCCTGACCACTGCACTGTATTTCTGAAACTGATGTTGAATAAGATTGTATGTCAACTATAATTATATATACATTGTTTCGGGACATGGAATAGAGAGGGGGAATGGAATCCATGGAATTGTAATACATGGATAGGGTTTTAAAAGGTCACTTCCGCAGCTTTATGGAGGAGGGAGGTGGGTAGAGTCATGTGGAGACTAATGGGCGGGGTCAGAGGAAGGGAAAGGGTGGAGTCCTATGGATTAGTGGCGTTAACTTTTATGGTATTCAGAGGAACAGCGAGACTTGAGGATTGGTTGGATCTTCCTCACTGTGCCCAGCTGCAAGTGTAAACACATCAATTCATCTCATGTGACAGTTTTAGCCAAACTCTGGGGACCTGGTGGAGATGGTGTGTGTATGGTGGCTAAACGCAGAGTCTGTGACCTGAGGCTGCCTGGGACCAACTCTCAAGGTGTCCTAGACTGTGTGACCCTGACTGGGTGCTTGGCCTGTCTTTGCCTCAGTTTCCTCATCTGCAAAATGGGGGTACTGAAACCTAGCTCCCAGTGATGTTGTGAGAACTAGAACATGCCCAGCACATTGTAAATATGCATGAAGTGTTGCTATTATGGCTTCCTTCACAGCCCCGTCTGAGTTCCAGGCCAAATAGGCAGCACCAACCAGGAAAACTGAGTAAACCGGGGCTGAAGACATTCAGGGGCTTTTATTATCCGGCCGCCACCCAGCCGGCACAGTGGTATATAATTTTACTGGGGTAGATCCACTCAGAAGATGATGCCGCACCCGGAAAATGGCACCCTCTCCCCCGGCTGGAGAAGCTATAGTTCGTCCTTAGTCGCCTTCTCCTCCTCAGCTGCTGCCGTCTGCGCAGGTGGCTCTCCCAGCTGGGTCACATTCTCCAGCGCGGGCAACTTCTGTGCAGCTAACTTTTTCTTCATTATGGGTACTGCCTCCTCTTCCTTAGCTAATACCTCCTCGCCACCGGTCACTTCACTTTGCTCACCAGACATTAGCTATTCAAGAAAGGGAGGGAGGGAGATAAAGAAATATGTGATCATTGCGATGGTCATGGGCACGCCCTCTTTTTCTGGAAGCCGCGTCACCTGGAGAATCCTAATGATGCAGAGGTCCATTGGGCTCAGGTGGGGAAGGGCCCAGCTGTGGTTTTCCCCTCCACTAAGAGGACCTTTGGGGAGCCAGCCTCGCTCCACGGTAAGTCCATGGCTGCGGCTGCCCCATGCGGAGCTCGGGGGCTGGGCCTGTGACCCAGGCCTCGCTAATGACACTCCTGTCCAGGACGCTGGCAGGGCTGCTAAGAAGTAGGTGCTTTGTAAGCTGGGAGGATTCGTTTAGAGCTGTGAGGCTGTCTTTGACCCTCGAAGGGGAAGTGACTGTTCGGGGATGAAGCCACCAGAGGAAAACAGAGATGGGGAGACAGAAAACAAGTTAGTGCCCCTGGGTACCCCCAGCTGATGTCCTTCCAGCTCTGGGGGGTCGAAGCCCATGTTGTTGGAGGCAAGGACAGCCTCTCCGACACTTGCAGTGAAAGAGTCCTAATTAACACAGGTGGCAGCCTCCTGCAGCTGGCCTCACTGAGGCATGATGGGATTAGGAGACCATGGGGATGGGCAGCGTCCCATCAGGAGTGACGTCAGAGGGCTGCGTCGCATCTAGACGCCGGGTTCCCCACTCAGGGACAGGAGCCCAGGGGCCACCTGAGAGCTGTGCACATCAGCGCCTGCACCCTTCCCTGTGCGCTCAAGTCGGCCATTTCCACTTGCTTGCTGTAAGTGCCCTGAAGTACAGCCGCCCAGCTTGGGCGGTGGCTCGTCCGCAGCTGTCTGTGGACGGCACCCGCCCTCCTCGTCCGGAGTCTTGATGACTCTGAGGGACAGGATAATCTAGGGACGGGCGCTTCGCCTACCTTGTCTTCGTCCTCCGCCCTGGACTGGATCTGCCTCTCGAGGAAGTCAGACAAGCCCCTCACGGTGTGCTCTCCCTTGTACAGCACGGCCTGGGAGGAAAACGGAACCCAGTCACAAACATTAAACATGGTAGGTCCAGGGCCCAATTCCTGACGACAGAAGCGCTCCGAGCCCCCATTTCCGTGGCCCTAAACTAATAACTCCCCCACCCCCTGTCACAGGGCTGTGATGTCAGTTCAGAGCATGGACTATGGGGGCGCACCCACCCCCGGGCTTCTCCATTTAGCAGGCAGTCTGGCTGCTGAATCTGGGACTCAGTTTCCTTACCTGTAAAACGGATATCCTAACAGTACCTATCTGGTTGTGGTGTTGGAAGGATTTAAGGAGTTACTATATGAAAAGCACTTAAAACAGTGCCTGACTCCTAGTGAGCGCCGAATGTGTTTGCTGTTATTATTACAGGGAGACTAAGAACAGTTGTTCTTTTCCAAAGCGTCTGGTACGTAGCTGTTGCTCAGCCACCACTTGTTCCCTTGCCTCTTTCAGTCTTTCCTGCCCACTAGTTGTCTAAAGCTCCCTCCCAGTAACGGAGGGTGGTGACAGCCCCACCCCCTCAGTCCAGCCTCCTTGCCGACTCCCCACAGGCGACGTCTGTCACAGAGGACGACATGTCCTTCACAGGGCTGTGGCCACCCTGTGCCCACCTCCTTGGTCTTACTGTACTTCCCAGCTAGAATTCACACCGCTCTCCTAGTCTGCTTTCAATCCCCACTGCTCTCCAAAACCCATATCTGCATGAAGACTTCCAGCCATACGTGCCCCGCAGAAGCGGTCTGATTCCAGCTGCATTTGGAGATGGGCTGGGGTTGTGGCCACCACCCCACGCAGTCAGAGTCTTCCTGGGAACAGGGACCCTGGCCTGGAATTGTTTGATCGATGCCCACCCCACATGCCAAAGCAGCATGGACAGTGCTCTGTGAACACCAGCTTCCTTCTTCCGCTAGCTCAGGGGTTGGCAAACTGTGGCTCGCGAGCCACATGCGGCTCTCTGGGTACGTTACATCTCGAAAGTTTGCTGACCCGTGGAAGAGCCAATCCTGCCCCTCACAACAATTTAAAAATTTTATAAGTGAATCTATATTTTCATTTTCAATTTTACTTCAGAGCCACATGTACGTCCCCAAAGAGCCAAACATGTGGCTCGTGAGCCGCAGTCTGCTGACTCCTGGTGGCTCTTCCATGTCAAAAGTTTGCCGACTGCTGTGCTGGCTCTGCACCCCCAATATTCACAGGCAATGTCCCCCACCACATCCCATGGAGTCTGGGTACCCGAGGGAGCCACAGGCCTGGTGTGGTCCCTGACACATCCAGACACCCACATCCACTTGGCCACAGTGATTGGGTCAGGGGTGGGCCCAATTACAGTGAGGTTGGGGCTTCTTTCGAGGCTAAAGGAACACACTTGACCATGACGCGGAGAGACTATGGGGGTCGGAGCTGAGCGTGAAGCTGGTTGGGTGGAAGGCAGAGCTGGACTGGGGAGATCTCGCATCCATGACCGTAATGTAAGCATATCTCCAGTTCCCTGAGTCCCGGGGCCACTTACCTGTTGAGAGCCGGCGGGGAAGAGCCTGAAAAAGGGGTACCGGTCCAGGTACATCAGCTGAATGTCGTTGGCCGTGATGTCGATCTTGGCGACGGTGACGGTGGAGTGGTTCTGGTACTTGACGCCCAGCTCCTCCAACACGGGGAACAGCTTCTTGCATCGGCTGCACCAGGGGGCGTCTGCAGGAAAAGCGCTAGGGCTCAGGCTCCCAGCCAGAGGTTCTGGCAGCCACAGCCCCCCAGCAACACCGCTCTGTGTCCTGTGTGCTGCTTTGGAGATTGCACCCCCTCTTTCCTTTCATGGGGTGTCAGGTTATTTTGCATTTCTAACCTAGTACCTGGTCACGATTAAACACATCCGAAATAAGGGAACCCTGCTCCCCTCCCACCCAGACACCAACACTTCAGTATGCTGGGACCTTGGCTACCGTTCTTTGTGTTCCTTTAACATAGAGTTCTGCTCTAGTCAAAAAAAGAAAAACACTAGGTGACTCATGTTCTGCCAGAAAGCGTGCGTGTGTGTGAGAGAGAGAAAACAAGAGTCTCTAACAAAGGTTAAGCTCAAAGCCCAAGGTCAGCCAGTTAATTAAGCAGAGGATGTGCAGTTTGAAGACCAGTCACCGTCACACCACTGTCCCTTCCTGTCTGATGGATAGGACTGTGCCCCAGAGGTAGCAGGAGGTTGTGACCAGCACATCGACCCCTGGAAAGGGGACACCAGGCATCCTTACGCCCAGGTACCAGCCCCCTGGCGAGAACTCAGGGACCAGCTCATGGAGGGGAGCTGAGCCTTGCCTCTGTTTTTCCATTAAAGTGTCCCTTCTCTGCGGGAAGAGTGGTCTCAGTGGTCTCAACGGCCCAGACACTCATCTGGATGACCATCCCTCATTCACAAACCCTGTGCCTCCAGGCCCATCGGCTCTCCATGCAGCTGCCCAGGAGCCCAGTGGGCCCTGGCTTGGAGCAGGAGGGGACATAATGGCTGCCACCCCAGGAGGCCAATCTGACAGCCCTGCTTCCGGAAAACGAGGCTGCTTTTGCCTCTTTCCAGTACCCAATGGGGTTCTCATGACTCGGGGCGCCTGGTAAGTACAGAAAGGCCGCCCCCGCCTCATGTAAAGGCCACAGATTATGGTTATTCAGCCATGCAGAGCATAACCCCCCCCCCCCCCCCCCCGCCCCTGTGAAAGAGTTCATTTCAGAGAGATTACAAAGGCCTGCATGATGCCATCAGCAACTGTGTCACCCTCCAGGGAGTGATAGCATCGGAGTCACTTTGAACTTTTTGCCCTGCAACTTACTGTGTGACCTGGGGTAAGGTAGCAAACCTCTCTGAGGCTGGGTTCCCTGGCCTGTAGCATGGGGAAGTCACAGACCTCCCTATGAGGCCTATTTTCCGGAGGAAATGAGGGTAGATGTGTCAACAGCAAACCCATTCCTGCTCATTGTAAGCACCCGAGAAATGCTAAATAAAAGAGAAATAACTTCACTGTCACCCCACATTTGAGTCTCAGGGTGGGAGAGAAGGTCCTGGTTTTTGCTCGCCCATGCGAGTCTGCAGGTGAGCACTGGAAATTATTATAAAAGGAAGGACACCAGCCATGACAGCCATCATTGATCACGTGCCCACGATATGCCAGACACTAAGTCCTTTAGAGGCAGAATGTGGGTCCCCGGTGTGGCCACCCCACCTCAAGTGCGTTAAGTGTGGGCCATTTGATAAGTTACAGAAAACCAGAGTTGCTGCAGCACAGCCATTACTGGCACAGGTGCGGGAGCCGGGCTGCCGGGGGTCCCATCCCAGGGCCAGCGCTTCTGAGCGGCCTGACTTTGGGAAAGTTTCTCACCTCCCTGGGTCTCTGGTGAGTGGGCACAATAATAGTACCTACCTTCAAGAGTACGTATTAAGGATTACATGATAATGCATAGCACGGCTCAGCACGAGGCCGTGCACACCCTTGGCATTCGGTGTTAGCCGTTGGCGTTGTGACAAAGCCACAGGCCTGGACTATGTGTACGGTATCCCACAGGTTCCAAGAAGTGAAATCGAGGGACACTTACATTGTCGCCAATAGCACCCAGATCTACAGTCTTTGACCACCTGAAGACCACCCTTCACATGGTGCTTAGATGGATTTTGCCCACGAATCCAGGGGCAACCCTGCCAAGTCATGTCGGGGCCACAGCCTCCTGTGGCCTCTGTGGATATACTCACAGAACATCACGAACACGTCCCTTTCCTTGTCAAAAACGACAAGGTTGAAGTTCTTCCCAACGAGCTGCTTCACGGGCCCCTGGTCCCAATATGCTGGGATCTCCTCACTGGATTGATGTCTCTAGAAAGCAAATTTGAGAGGTCGCACAGTCTCCAGAAGAGGGCTGGCAGTTGGGGCCTCCCAACCTGACTGCAAACAAAAGAAAGTTTTTTCTCATTCCTACAAGAGCCTTGGGGAAGTGTTTGAAATGCTGAACTAGATCATGAACTTGAAGGCGATCTGGGATCTAAAGAGCTGGGGAGGGGGGCGGGGCTCCAAAGTGGGACAGAAGCTGGCATTTCAAATATGTGATTCCTGGAATTCTTAGGTGACAGTGGGGTTCACGTCTTTAACATCTTAACAAGTTTGTTCCCCCTACACATACAAATTAGCTCTCGCTAATTATACCAAGAATCAAAACCAAGGTAGTTTACGTGAACTGCCACATCTTATCACACCTTGGGACCTGCCCGCCTCTCCAAGCCCATCACCATTCTTCCCTTGTTCCGCCATCAGGGTTCTCTGTTTCCCCAGAGGGCTGGCCTTCCTCCCGCCTCAGGCCTTGGCTTAGGCAGGTCCTCTGCCTGGAGACCCTCCCCCGTTCCTCCACTCCCTTCTCTAACTAGGTCATTGTTTGTCCTTCAGAACAAACACAAGGGAAAACCTCCCTGACGTTCCCCCAGACTAGGTCCGCTCTCGGCTACCACACGTTTTCATAACACTTGGTCCTGGTAGCACTTATTCAAGTTGATCAGTTATATTTTTCTGGTTATTTTGTGGCAACGGGCGCTAGACAAAGACCTTCTCAGACCATGTGGTCACCAAGGATTTTGCACGGGCTTCACACAAAGACATTCCTGAACTGTACGGTCAGCAAGACTTACGCGTTTAACATTTCCAAATTCCTACCTCACCTGAGAGCCAGTCAGGAACTGGCACAATGGCCACATGTCCTAATAAGGAACCTGGAAACCTCAGGGTATATAACCCCGAGTCCCGCCCAGGTTGGGGCTCAGCCTCTGGATGTGCATCCGCTGAGCCAGTGCCGGCATTAGTAAAAGTTGCTTCCCATGCCTTGGTGTCCTGTCTCTTTGTCTGGGTTCCCCGCAACATAATTGGGGGCTCGCCTGGGAGACGGAGACGGTGATATTTTTCACCTCCCTTGTCCCTGGAGCCCTGCTCCCCCGGATGAGAGGAGAAACGCACTCTACTCAGCGCCAGTGGACTCTTGTCCGTCAGTGGGGATGTCTACCCTGCCGGCCATGAGGACTGACCCAGGAGCACGAAGGAACTCTGAGGGCCATGGGAACCAACTTTGGAGCACCACCCGACCAGGCAAGTAAGGACCCGGGTCACTTGGTAGCCTGTCCATCAGCGGACAGAAGAGGAGACTGATTACCTCCCAGAGTCACCCGAGTGTGTCAGTTTCTGAGAGAAACCGTGACTCCCAAGAACAGGGCGGCGGATGGAGAATGAATGTGTTTGAGTGTGTGTGAATGAGACACAGCCTGCCTGCAAAGTGAGTGTGGAGTCCTGATCCACGGTTCCGTGGTGCACCTCATATGGCTTAGGGTGGAATCACTAAATTGTCTCGTACAGTTTGGGGATCCACGTCGAGGATTTAAATCAACCCACCAATGCTAAGAGGCATCTGAGAATTCTTGTGAGAGAAGCGGCTGGAGACGGACAAACCGTATCTCATGAATGTGTGTCACAGTGATTTTGGGTGGTTGCCATGGGTGGGCAACAGAGTACTCAGACTCCGTTAGGATGTATGTTAAAAAATTTTAAGAAGAGATTTTCAGGGGATTATGGCATTGAGATGACCCCCCAAAAGCTCCGTACCTTCTGTGAGATTGATTGGCCATCATTTGGTGTTGAATGGCCAGAAGAGGGAAGCTTAGACAGAGATCTCATTGGGAAAGTTTACCTCGTTGTTACCAGCAGCCCCGGGCACCCCGATCAGTTCCCTTACATTGACTCATGGGAGGCTACTGCACGTACCCGACCCCCTTGGTTGAAGTCCTGTTTGGAAAGCCAGAGCAGAATTTTTCTAGCACAAACTATAAGCCCCCCAAGGAAGCAGATTAGGAAAAAAACAGGACAAAAGCCAGTCCTGTCTTCGGACCGGAGGAAGTCCCACCTCCTTACCGATTTATCCACGCCTTCCCTGGGGGAGGCGCTAGCCCAGCACCCGGCACCGCCCCCGCTGGCTCTGCTTTCTCCACCCACGACGCTAGCGCAGCTCCTGGCACCGCTCCCACCGGCACTGCTTTCTCCGCCCATGACACTAGCCCAGCCCCTGGTACCGCCCCCGCCGGCTTCACTGTCTCCGCCCATGACGCTAGCTCAGCCCCCGGCACCGCCCTCACCGGCTTCACTGTCTCCGCCCATGACGTTAGCCCAGCCCCCGGCACCGCCCTCACCGGCTTCACTATCTCCGCCCACGATGCTAGCTCAGCCCCCGGCACCGCCCTCACCGGCTTCACTGTCTCCGCCCACGACGTTAGCACAGCCCCTGGCACCGCCCTCGCCGGTTTCACTGTCTCCGCCCATGACGCTGGCCCAGCCCCTGGCACCGCCCTCGCTGTCTCCGCTTCCTCCGCCCTCCACGCCCGTTCTGGAGGTTTTTGACATGCCTCCACCGCCAGTGCTGACCCCCTAGGGGTTCACAAATAAGCGGCTGCAGACCAAGGGTCCTGAGACTGGTGCTCTCCAGCTCCCCCGACAGGAAACCAGAGGCCCGTCTACTGTGATCAGGAAGGCCAGATACAGGGAGGCCACCGCATTTTTGTATACCAGCCCTTCTCAACCGCCGATCTCTTAAATTGGAAAAATCATACCCCATCATTTACAGAGAAACCACAGGCTTTGACCTCCTTCAATCATTCAAACGCATCGGCCCACCTGGGCTGATTGTCGCCAGCTCCTCCTAACTCTCTTCAACACTCAGGAACGCCGGCGAGTCACCCAGGGAGCTATAAAATGGCTAGAGGAACATGCCCCACCCGGGACCTTAAACATTCAAGTGTATGCTCAGAATCATTTTCCTGAGGAGGACCCACAGTGGGACCCCAATAATGACCGGGACTTCCAGATGCTGGAACAGTATCAAGAAGCCCTTATAGGAAGCTTAAAGGATGGTAGCAAAAAAAAAGCATTAATATGAATAAAATCTCTGAAGTCCTCCAGGGGCCAGAGGAGAGCCCAAGCCAATTTTATGGAAGACTCTGTGAGACATTTCGTCTCTACGCTCCCTTTGACCCTGAGACTGTCGAGAATCAGCGGATGGTCAATGCTGCTTTCGTCGGGCAGTCCCAGGGTGACATCCGGCAGAAACTTCAGAAACTGGATGGATTTGCTGGCATGAATATCAGCCAACTCCTTGAAGTGGCGACAAAAGTCTATGTCAATCGTGACCAGGAGGCTCGTCGGGAGGTGGATCGGAAGATGAAGGAAAAGGTGAACTTACTGGCTGCTGCGCTTGCTGAAAGGGCTGTGACCTCAGGACAAAACGCCATCCCAAACCTGGGACTACCCCAGCAAGGACGACGTCAAGGGGGGGCACATTATGGGAGGCCAAGGCTGGGACACGACCAATTTGCTTACTGCCACCAACGTGGCCACTGGAAAAATCAATGTCCTCAGCTGTTGGGGAGGATGCCAACAGGTCCGAGTCCCTGAAGGCAGGGTCGAGTCACTCACGGCCGTTACCAGCTGCCCCAACAGATGCCAGGCCCTTCTGGAGACGACTTCATCAGACTTGCTGGCATGGAAGAATACGGACAAGAGTAGGCCAGACCGGGCTCCATCGAGCTAGGACCCCAGGAG